TTAAGTTCGTCAGAAATAACTCAATCCTCCACCTCAAGATTTAACGAACATTGTATCCCTGAATTTTCGTCAATGGAACTCGATAGAATTCGCAAACCAATAGGAATATCCTAGTGTAACACTGAAGATCAGATAAAAGCCTCACAGCGTCCTAGACCCAGATCTTTTTTCGTTTCCTGCTTACAAACAGTAATTACTCCAAGCATTGCATTGAATCCTCACAGCCAATCGTTGCGCTTCTCATGGAACTCTATAAAAGTCATAGATCAATATGAATATTCATTCTAATACCGAGGATTAAGTAAGAGACTACAATATCCTAGACCCATATCTATCTCTCCTTTCTATCTACAATAGCTAATTGATCCGAACAGTGCATTAAATCCGCATAACCAATCGTTGCATTTCCCGTCGCCTGTGCGTTTCACCGAGCTTTAGAGCGATCGTAAGAACCGTTGCTTAATTTACATCGATCAGAAATACCTCGTCGGAATATCCAGTTTCTTGGAGAAGATTAGGTAAGAGACTCAAAGTGTCCTAGACCCACATTACTCTCTCGTTTTCCATCTACGAAAGCTAATTACTCCGAGCAGCGCATTAAATCCCCATGACCAATCGTGCAAACAGATCTCGTCTCCACCTGAACGATCTCCATTGTCGCGAAGCACCGTCGACTCGCTCGACCTGCCGAAACGAAGGAAAAGTAAAACGTCGACTAATTAACGCACTTTCATCGCGATATTAAGTTTCTCCGCGAAGGAAAAGGAAAAAAAGACACTTTAATTACCGCGGGATAGCTGGATGACGTTCAGAGCGAGGTCTGGACGGTTCGCAATCGCGACAATTGGCTCGTGGCGAGTTAGAGATACTCTTCGTCTAACGCCAAGCGATTCCCATTGAGCGGCGTGCTTGAGGCCCGCGTTTTCCTTTCTATGTCAAAGAAATCGCCGAGGCTCGACGATGTTCCCGCGCTCGAGGCGAACGGTGGTGGCGAAACAACGATGTGAAAGCAGATTGGAACGACCTGGACAGGCCTCGATGGGCCTCTCTGGCTCTTTCTTTTTCTTTTTCACGCACGTGACAAACGATTAAGGACTGTGCGCCCGTTATGCGTGCAGTTGATTCACGTGTACCCTGCACGCGCTCGCGATACACCGTTCTTTCTCTCTTTCCACCAGCGATCGGCTGCGTAACGCGTGTGTGTTCACCTGCTGACTAATTATCGCGGAAACTCCAATCGTACGCCGGCCTCCAGAGTCGTTTTCGACGCCGAGAATTCTCGGATTCTCGAGAAAGCGGTTGCTTTGCCACGTTAGACCAGGATCGAGCGAGGGTCCTAAGAAGATCGGCTCTCCCTCGAATATCATTGCCTGGTCCGCCGCTGGTTTTCCTTTCTTGCTCTTGGCTTTACCGTAACAACCTGGCCGATCTGTAAGACGGTAAATCGAGTTTGGTAATCTCGCAGTTGCGATTTACGAGAGACGCGAGAAAGTAAACGTAGTAGCTACTTTACGTGTAATCCCAACGCAATCCATTTAGCGGTGAACATAAAAGTGGGTAGGAAAAGAAAGGAAGTCGTATGATTCATCGTCGATAAACGGGTCGTGCCCGTTTAGTTTGCTATTTTGAAATTTCATTTCCATAAAATTATAGTGCAACGATAACTATAACGATTGTCGTAAAAAGTTTCGCGATCAGATTTACGAGAGTCGGATGAAAAATAAGATGGAAGACGATGAAAGATGCGAAGGAGAAAAAAGAAATCGAGGTAATGTCGACGTCCATCGCACGCCTGCTTTGCATTCGAGAGGAAAAATGTCGATGATAGATCGCAGAAGGGCATGGGTGTTCCCCAAGGTTAATAAGATCTCGCAACCCACGAGTATTCGGAATTCAATTATCGTTCTATGATCGTGGATCGTGATCGAACAGCAACGTGGGACGGGAAATTTCTCGAGTTCCCTCTGGAACAACAGCTCCATCGCAGCTTCTGTGGAACCGATTACAGGAGCCGATACTTTCGATAGTCATGATCTCGTGTAATCGCGACGGAACACGAACGGGAAGCGCTATTTTCAGAGGAAACCAGTTTCTGAATTACGCTCACGAGGAAGTACGTACACTTTGGAGCAGGGAGAAAAAAGAACCAGGAAAGTAGTTCCTTCCTGAGTTTACAGTTATCTGAGAAAAAGTCTAATGGCGTTAAACTACGTCCCCATGTTCTCTCATACGATAATCGTCGGCTGATAATAAAATTATAGCAACAAAAAGAATAATTATACGAACCTAATATCATTGAACAACATCCTTGAGTCGAGTCTGTAGCCAAGAAAACTGAATTTTCTTGACAAAACGAAGTCTCTAATCATCATTAGATTCGATGGAGGTAATTACTGCAAGTGGAATATAAATTGAGTAATACAGTAGAAAAAAAGTGGATAAGAATATATTAAATAGATAATAAAGAAACGAGAAGGATCTTAGAAAGAAATTAACAAGCGGATGATCAAAGTTTACCACAAATCCGGATAATTATCATTTTACCGTAACTACTGTACTATTGTTTTATTAGTATACTTGATGAGACCTCGAGAAGAAAACGATCTTGATGACCGCGAAACGGTGAAAACAGATCGACGTACCTTGCTGGAAAATTAGGATCAGTCGAGACACGCATGAGAATCAAGCGTAGCGAACTATCATTATATCTCAGAATACGTATTTAAGTACACGTAAATACGCGTATAAGTATACATACGTGAGTACATAAGTACACGATTCATGAACGTCCATGAAAACACACGTTTTCTGGCATCGTGCGAGTCGCATGGCTCGAGTGTTTGCCATGCAACCCCATACGGCTTATTACACTTTCTACGTGATGCTGTATCAGAAAATCGTCAGCATACTTTCTAGAATGGATCTGCTACAGAGATATCCTGAAATTCTCTCTGAAATAGCAACTATCGGTGGTCTTGCAAGGAATTCGTGAGAAATATGCTTGATGCAAGTCCCTCTGGTGGTTGAAGATGAAGACAGGTGTGACTCTGGAATAAAAATACGCGTTCGATATAGGTTTTCAATTTGTGCAATGCGCGAAGGCGATGTAATGCTTACTTTCCTGCACATAGAAGAGCAGGGATTACGCGAACGATCGCAATGGAGGATAAAAAGAGGTGTTTAAAAATGTGGTACACTCGCAACGATGTGGGTACTAGTTATTCACGGTAGATTTAAGCAGCATTGGTGTCCCGGTTCCACCACACCAGTAATCTTCCAAACAACAGTTGCGAATAATCAACACGTTGCTTAAAGGTTAATGATAAGGAACCAATCGCTGGAACGAATAACTGAAATCTATTATATAACGTATCCACTACGAACAGAAGTAGGTAATAGAAGAAATTAATTATTTTGCCATTTGCTATCTGGCAATTATTTTTATCAACAGCATCATGTACCAACCAATCTTTCCCTGTAAGATCAAATTTAATTTATAATCATAGGATTTTTCGTCGAGATTATAGCGCCATGAAATTACTGGAAAGGCATAGAAGACTATAATTCACTCTCACCTAACTGTTCCCTAAACACACTCTCTTATTTCTCCCATTCTATTCCATCGAGACTGAACCTCATTAAAGCAAAAGAAACCCTAAGCTAAATTTACTTCCATTCCATCCATGTTTAACCACTGAACTACCAAAGAACCAAGAATAGAATTACCGTTTCTTTTCACATATGTACCCAGTTCTAACAAAGTTACACGCGACTGTAGAGAGGAAGGTAAAGGGAAACGGTAAGAAAGGAAAACTAGAAATTCCGTTTCCATGCCGGGGAGCGGCTGTAAGAGGATTCTCATACTTGGCCGACGATGCAGAAGAACGGTTCTACCGTCCACCAGGCTGTCATAAGATCTAAAATTACATTTAATTTAGAGGGCGGTATGCATTGCGCATCCTCGATCGCAAGAAAGTCCGGAACTCGAGTCGGTACGGTTGAGTAAACACGCTCTCTAAGCCTCCTTCTAGGATAACGCGCGGTTTCGTTTCTTCAGGAAGCGACCAGCCAGATACCAGCGTTCGCTGTTGGAACTGAAAATTTGTAACACGCCTGCGATTTCCTTTCCTTCCGCAATTTCCTCCGCGAACCTGGTTCAGCCTCGCCTGGCACACGTAACTTCCGACGAAAATCCATTTTCTACGCGATATCCTGCGCGACTGTCAGCCGAAGAGTAATTTCATCTGTCGATTTCATAAAGCTTAGTCTTCCTTTTGAAATTCATGTGCATACAATTACGTTCAGAGAAAGTTGTAATTCATCCTTCATTCTGTGGTAACCTGTGTATTATAATTTGTCGTTAGTTGTGATCCAACTAGACGATCTTCCATTTCCAATTGTTGCTTTAACTAGGTTCTGATGGATGAATAACGTCGATTATTCATAGATGAATTCCTTGGAAGTTGGGAAATGGTCGTTTCACGAGATCAGCAGAAAAGGTTACAATTTTCTATTTTCAATCGCCACTTTGACTAGGATCTGATCGATGAATAAGGTCAATTATCGAGCGATGCATTTCTTCAGCATTGGGAAACAGTCGTTTCACGAAATCGACCGCGATCGCTTCATGAATAATTTCCTATAATCTATTCGTTTGGACTTTTTCCAGCGGTATCGAGAGACGTTTGGCCTTCTAAATTCATGTAGGGATTCCGATTCTTGCTTTCTTACTTTCTAACGATCGTAATATTTCCATAAAACGACTACGACTCGTTCCTAATCTGCATTCGGGAACCAACGACCGTTCACTCCGTTCAAAACAATGTTTCCTTCTTCCCTCGCTATCGTTTTCACCGGCCAATCCGATCATTTTCATCGATTAAACTCATTTGCGATTCGATTGTTCGGTGTGATTAATTAATAGAAGTACACGCGAGCGAGCACCAGGGAAACGGATCGTTGGATAGCGTGAATCATTCGGACAAATTGTTTTGTTGCAGCAATATGCAGCCAAGCATGCCGAGCAGAGCCACTTGGTGGAGCAAATGAATACGAAGTACTATTACTACACGAGGACGCAGGGTCTCTTCAGGATATGCTATCCCAAAGAAAGGCCACCGACTGGTAAGCGCAACCTGATCGAGCTTTTTTAAAGATATCGCCGCCGAAATATATGGAAACACGTGATTCGAACCATAGATTGAACGGTTCTTACTTGACCCCCAGGGTTCAAGTGAAAGCATTCCGTCTGCAACTGTCGTGAGTTAAAACGAATTTGTTTGACACCAGAACTATCAGAGTCAAAATGACCGGTTTCAGAGATTTTGCTCTTGCAATTCCTGAAAAGGTACTGCTACCTTCGGTAAAATTCATTCTGACCTCATGGAACATCGCAGAGCAATGACTTTTTAATGTTCCACGATTTAAAGAGTTCGCCAAAGAACAAAGAGATATTCGCGAGTTTTTGGGGAAACCAACGTGACAGGACCACGAAAGAGACTAGGACGAATTTCTCGCGAGTTGCTGGTTCCTACAAGAGATATCGGCCTTTAGAGGACTTTCTACGTTACGATACCGTAATGTCGCGGGTTATTCCACGTAATAGGTTAAGAGTTTATAATCGGTTGGTTCGGTTGCACGCAGTTGGAGGAGAAAGGAAGAGGCTCTCGTGAAATTGCTGGCGTGTACGTGATGACCCAAAGACGTCTCCTTCGCGCTTCCACGAGTTCCCTTGGTCAATATTGACTCCGGGTGGCTTTCCTGTTTCTGCCACATGGAGAACGTGTCTTGCCATAATTCTCAGTTATACGAAGAATTCCTTAACACTGGAACTACTGACCTGCAACGAATACCGAGCTATAGTGTACATAAATAATAACTAAAGCGACAAGATGAAAATAAATAGGTATATACATTTACAAGTTTATTTCAATGAAAGTCGATGTTATTTTTGTAATAAGGTTCGCAAAAGAATAGCAGAAGTCTTGAGTTTATTATGGATGAGATTTACCTGATGCGAATTTTCTCTAACAACTTGTGAAGAAACGTAGCACCGGGTAATACTTATTTTATGGACCAATTAATTCTTGCATGTGTGAGTTTTTCTATAAATATAACAAAACATTAGCTTGGGAATACATTTAGAATGAATTTATTTTTCTGCCTTACCAAAAGCAGATTTTTTCTAATTAGAAAAAATAAAAAGTTTGATGTTACCTATAATATTATAGTTTGGATGATAGTTCTAGTGTTATGAATGAAGGATGTTAGTGGACGTTGATAAGAAATAGACGAAATAAAAACGTAGTAATAATAAAAAAAAGAAAAATATGAAACTCTACCCATTCACCTCTCCCATACCAACCGGTGGGAAGTAGGGTAACCGCATCGCCTTTTTACGAATAAAAAGAATTTTTCTCTTGAAAAGCAATTATGGATAATCCAACTTTTTCGCCTAGAAATTGAGTTAGAACGTGGTATTAGAATCCAGTTTGAGATCAAATGCTCATCAAAGCGTGAAATCTTTGAATTACTCGATTCCCAAGAAGATGGTTCGCTCAGGGAACATCTGAATGCTTTTTCTTTCCATTTTACTCTTTTTTTAAGTGAAACCAACGTCTCCTCGCAATTATTGCTGATGTTAGATCAGCAACTGGACCGTTTCGATCATAATTTTATTTCCAACAGTCACTGAACTTTTCATTCGATCGAGAAATAATCCTTTTACTTCTTAATCGTTCGCTATGATAAACTGTGGATAACTCGTTTAAAAACATTAATTTTCAGCCTTGATAAATATAATTTTACCTCGGTACGACTAAGACTTCAACGGCTAAATTATTAATACCTTCACAATGGTGTATACATATGTTTAGAAAACGCGTGTTTATAATAGTTGGCAAACTACTGGCATCAGTTCAAATTGCTGTGAAATTGTTCAGCACGATGTGAAACAAGACGAACGAAACGAAATTTCACATGGAGAACGTGGTTTCATAGCTGTCTGGCAATCGTAAACACGTTCAGCTGTGATCAGGATCAGAATCTGTCATGAAAGGTATCTATTTAATTCCACGTGATAATATCCATGAATTGCATCGCCTATTTCTTCCGTTCAACTTTCTACGGTAATGATGCGCGGCAAAAACGATTGTACCCCAAGCAAAGCAATCAAAAATGATAAAAACTAATTGAGGAAACTTACACGTCCAAGAGAATCGACTTCGAACAAATTTCTTAAGTATACTTCGATCACGATTACAACATACGTAGAAACCTCATTCGCAATGGAAGAGTGTATCGATGAAAATGCATGAAGTACGTTCTATTCGCCTAATTGCAAGCGAGCAGTTCGAAAATAGATTTTCTAAAATTTCGAATTCAGGTATAACAATAATTTTCTTTCCATTTCACTGTGAAATTCTCGCACAATAGATGATCGCGCGAGTTCGACAAATGGAAACTTCGTTTGCATAATAAAAGAAGCCAGGTTCGTGAAAGGGAGCCAAGTGCAGCAGCTTCGCAACAAAGAGGCGCATTTCCCAGTCTTCGCAGTGTATGCAATTAGGATTATCGTTTTTCATATGCAAACAGCCGACGTCAGTGTCCGATCGTCTTTCCATGTGGTTCATACAAGGTCGATAGAACGTCGCGATGATTACAGTAGCCTTCGCGATATAACGAGATCCAGCATTAAAACATCAAGTAGCAGCAGTGGTTGATGCGCTGACATTCATTCAAGACCCTATGCAGCTTCAATAGGGGCGGAACTAAAGTTAAACATAGAACCGTAATTGATGTTTCAAGTCTCTCCATCTTTTCAAGTTTCTCAATTCGATTATAAAGGCGCTAAATCTCGCTATATTTCTTACATCGATTATACTCACAAAAGTTTGCCTCTTAAATATAGAAAAATGTGCTTATGAAAATTCATCTTTTATGTTTGATACAATAATTCGACCCTTAAAGACAGATATCACGGTATTTACAAAGATGAGTGGACATCAAACATGGGAACCTATAGAGACACCAGGAGGCTACTAACGATAAAAATAATACTGAGAATAGGAATAATAGCAAACGCCATGGAAAGGAAAGATAATAACACCATGACAAAAAAAGTAGATAAATCCCACGATATAATCGAAGGAAAATGATCTTTTTCTCAAGATGTTGAAGAAGAGGTATTAAAAATTTGAGAATAGCAGTTTCTGAAGTGGAATTGAAATATAAAGTTATCAACGTGGTAATGTGACAATATGTGCTTGAACAATATGCGATTAGCTATGTATATACACAAAAATTCATCACGGTTTAAGAGCCTTAGGACAATGACAGACGTCATAAAACAACGTTATGCCAGCCACGTAACGCGTATGACTGAATCAACGTGCCGCACCTGGCACTCGCTACTAGCTTGCGCTTTGCTATTCATAGTAGTATATTCATATCTACCATAATGAAAACCATAGACCTCGATACGATACGGATACGAAACTTCACAAAGTATTAAGAGAAATAAAATAAGTAACGAAAATCTAGGTTAGATAACGGAAGATTATATACCGAAACGGCAATGGGAATAGATAAAACGGTGTCTGAGTGCCGATTTGCGGTTGCCGAAATTCGACATTCGTATTTTACTCTCACGTTTAGACAGTGACGTTAAAAATAACAATAAGATATTACTTTCGATAAAGGAATTGGCTCGAAAATAAAAATTAAAGCTTCGTTCCCTTGCATTCCAGGTCCCCATTGACGAGGTAAACGGAAAGTATCCGGCACAATATATAATACACATAATTTACGTCTCGATATAGCTAGCTACTGTTCATTCACTTAGCCTATCAACACTTTGCAAGTACGTTCACTCAATCCTACGGCCGACTGAAACTTGAATATTCTATGAGCTCATTATTCGAAAAGGTTCGCATTTTCTCACGATGAGAAACGCAGGCATTTTCTAAACTTCGTCGCGGTGTAACGGAGCAATTCCAGTTTGCCCGGAAGTCTCGAGTTTCATGAAGTACCTGTATCCTTCGAAGGAAGAGCGCTACGGTCGCGATGAATCAAAGGACTTTCGGTAGATCTACGATCCAGAGAATGCTATTTTTATTCCTCCTTAATCCGGAGCGATATCGAGCTCTATTATAACCGCGAACAAGCTGAGGAATGAAATACCGAGGAATAGAAAGTACTGAGAAATTCTCGGGGAATGAGAACAACGGTGGTTGTTCCCGTCGTTTGAGCGGAAAACAATCGAAACGATCGATACATCACGTGTACTGTCTTGTACCGTTCTTCGACCGCCAGTTCCTTATCGGCTCAGACGTTCCGTTTGCTTCCGGCGTTCCATTTCCGGCTTCGTATTTGATTCACTTAGCATGCGTGATCGTACATAGACCTCGTTGAAGCGGAAAAAAGAACAAGAGTTCATTCAGTGGTGATGATAAAAATGTATCAAAAATATTTGCATTTGTTACGACTTACGTGCAGATTTAACTTCGCGATACTTGACGTCGTAAGGAAATATTCATCGATATTCCCACCTTCGGGCAGAAATCGTCCTACAAAATGGAGGTCAGGTGTATGCGCGTCGACCATCGTCGATGCACGCGTGAAAAATTTGAAGAAACCAGTCAATGACCGGTTTTGGCCAAGATTTTTCTTTTGTTTATGTTATTTTCTGCGTCTTTGGCTGCGACGACTCGTCATACTGACGAAAAAAAGATGGAAACGGAATGGACCCTATGATGAACAAGAAACCTATTCTTGAATGGCGAGGTGCTGTCTTAACGCATATACAGTTAGACACGAGTCAACGATCTTGGCATGGCGCCTCGTTTAGGCGAAACTAGATTCGAAGAAGGTCGAGGAAACGGCCGTCACCGACTGAATCTCAAATATTTCAAACGGTATGCGCGTTTACGCGACGCATCCCTCACGCGTCACAGACATTGAAAGCTTAATTGGGCCTTCGAATTACGTGCAGATGTTTCTTCTATCTTTGCTTCTGCGAACGACTCTGTCCTCGTTTTTGAAGGTCTTCCTTCACTTTTCAAGAATTCCTTCCTCGCGAACGGAAAATCTACAACTTTTGAATAAATGTCTGTAAATTATAATTAATTCTTTACATGGATATTTAACGAGGAAAGATAAAAAATACCTGAGGTCTATGCTCACGTGTACTATGTACAAAAGAGAAGAAAAAGAGGATGGAGAAGATGAAGAAGGTCGTGGATTCGCAATTAATGTCATTACACTTTTCTTTGGCGTTCCTAGAAACACAGGAAACCGTGAAAGCATCGCGACACGAGCGCGACTTTTTCTTTTCACTACGTGAAATGCCTTTCGAAAGTAGTATTTCGTAGATTTGGAATGGCCAAAGAGTACCGTTGCCCATGAAAGACAAGCTAGAGGCATACGAACGCCAGCCAACTCGAACATGTGTGTACACACACGCTGTGTATACTTCGCAGTCGGTGATAGCGCGTTGCATTCTGGGTCACGTGCTTTTCGATACGCGTGTGCACGATATGCCAGGGCTGTAACGAAAAAAGTCGACACCTTTTAGCTCAGGAATTCCTTCGATCGATTCGAATTATCCCGACAAGTATTCGAGTCACCTATCGAGTTACATAGTTACCTCGTCGATTAAAAGTCACTTTGTTTCTTGCAGTAGGAATTTTTATCTGTACTTAGACTACCGATTACTCGTACATCGAATATAATTTTATGTCTATCTATGACGTTAGGGACGAAGAGAAATTTACGTTCGAAAGGCAACGATTTCCTAACTATCTCGTATTCATTTTAAATAGTAGAAGAATTCGAAGCCTGTTCATTTTGCAATCGGCCATTAGACACGTGCGTAATTAGAACGTCTCCGAGGAAATTTCCATCACTGTCCAATTAATTGGCTGCCACCGTGAAACTTCCTTAAACAGACTGCATCGATTTTCGCAACTTCGCGCAGATTTCGTAATTCCATACTGCTCCTGTAAGTTTAACATCGAATTAACGTAATTTCGTTTGCGTATTTAATTGTTCTAGTTCAAACGTACCTAAGTCCTGTGGAGACACACTGTATGAACATCAATTACTTCATCCCCGATGAGGAAAATCTGACGAGAGGCTTCTCCGACGACGCAATGACTCGACTTCGTACGTAGACCAAATTAAATAACGTGTCGATGAGATTTCATTATCACTGTCTACAATTATGTTTACTGATTTTCAGACATGGGCAGATCTGTGATTGCTCTGTTTATAGTGGGATTCGTCGCAATCTTTACGGCATTCTGGACGGGAGTGGTAGGCTGTTGGAAGAGGTCACCAGGAAATATCACAGCCACCGCAATCTTGATGTTGCTAGCATGTTAGTGGCTTCATAAATTCAATGGCTTCGTAGTTCATCTCCCAACTTTTCTATGTTTAATAACAAAACTGTATAAACCAGTATCAGAATATCATAAATTTTGTCAATTCGAGTCGAAATATCGCTAATCAAATTAAGTCTTGAAGAGGGCGATCACTTGTTCTCATTTCACAGTGTTTTATTTACAAATGAAAACTGTTTGACAACATAGGCCTATTGAGTGCCAGCGCTATGGGACTTTGGCATGGTGTGGAATACTATGAGAAAGAGAAAATCGTCGGTGAAGAATACTACCAACAATGGAGCAACGTAAGTAATGTTTTTATCTAAAAAATCCCTTAAAATTAGAAAAAGCACATATATCCTCATAAAAGTTTGTTCACGCCTATTGGCATTTTCACGCGATACCGACTACCGCTTTTCAAGCAATCACCTGCGAAAATTAGTTATATAATTGTTTGTGGATTTCCGGTGTCGGTATCGTTGTAATGTGTACATCAAGATGCGATAAACATTCACAACCGCAACGGACTTGTGTAACGTAGAAAGTAGCTTGTTGCTTTCAATACCAGACGAAAATACATATTTCTATCTCATCGTCGACGAGGTTCAAACAATCTTGATGTAACATGCATACTTGACGTAACACATATTATTCTATTTCCAGCAACCACGTCATCCAAGTAAGGAGAACCAATATAAATTCAAACTTACCGAATTATGAAAACAACTCTAATCAACTCCACGAACCACCAGATATTGGTTCACCTTACTTTCAATTGAAAGATTCCTTACAGCCATACATGACAAATGCAGAGCATCGATCCAAACAGCTGTAAGGACCAAAGGCAGTGGCATCAGAAACGAGAGAGTGGTCTCAGAAGGAGATGCATAGATGTTTACAGAGACATTTGCCCGCAGGTTTTAAGAGACAACACGGTGCAGTGGTACGGCTGGTCATTTTACCTTGCCTGGCTGGGGGTGGCCACGTGTTTAGGCACGATGACGCTATTTCTGATCGCGGCATCCTGCCTCCGGCGGGAACATGCCCGCGAACAGGCACAGAACGTTCAATACATCATGCCAGGTGACATGCAAACGCTGAAACGGCCGTACTAACTTCCCCCATCTTTTTTTTCTGGAACGCGGTTCTAGGTCCTGAAGGACAACTCACTAATCTCGTACGACTGGTCGTACGTGGTCGCTTGGGTCGGCGTCGGTTGGTCGTTGGTCAGCGCGATCTTGTTTAGCGCCGCGGCGATTTGCTTGAGGGGCGAGAGAATGCGCGAGGAGGCGATGAACATGCAGTACCTCATGCCTGGTACATATTTAACACCTTTTGCTTTTGCCACGAATGCGACGAGTTCGCGCAGACTCCTGTTCCAGGTCGAGAAACTCTCGCGTGGTTCTCGGCTGCTTCACGGATGTTGCCATCCGGTTGGAAAATTATTTTTCCATATTCAATTACTGCAAACGTTTTCCTTCTTTCATGCTGAATGGCGGGAGTTTGAATTTGAAGAAATGTAAGTGGACGAAATGGGATGCTGATACCGTGATGACTGTCCAACTGCATTGACTTGCATTTTTCTTTTCCTGTCACGTTTTTTTGTAATTGAACGCGCTAACAGATGTTGCCGTTGAAATATTCGTGGTTATAAGAAAGGAGTCTGCGCGTGCATCGTGTACCACTAACTTTGATTCATGATCACTGGGTTGACCCCGAAAATGACGTTCCTTGGTCTGAAAGTAACGGCGGTCGTTCTACTAACTCGAATCGACTCTGAGGATACTAGGAATTTAATGAAAAAAAAAAAAAAAATAATAATAGTGAAAAAGAAAGATGGTTGATATAGAAGCAACGAATCAAGATTTACGTAAAGTAGAAATCGGCGTACCTATGATGTAAGAGAATTATGGCATGCATTTGAACGTAACAACAAAACAAAACGGAGAATTTATCGTGTTAATTAACGCGTATTTAAGCAGATAATGTATCGATGTATTCTTGTTGAAATATCTGACTTTGCAAAACGAGTTAGTAGTGATATTTACAGCTGACACATTTACTGACATATTTGGTATTGGTAAAACTATAAATGGTACATGATATCAAAGTCATCAGAGAGCAGAACGAAGTTAATTGGAATGAAACGTGAAAATCTCGTTAGAAAATCAGACTGCTTGCAACTTTCAAATACGTTTAGCGTTTAATTTTCAATTGCTTCTATGTCATCAAATTCATTACATTTTAGACTGTAAGATCACGTATCACGTTACAATGAAACATCCAAATCTCACAAACCTTTAAACGAAAAATGAAGACAAACGAATGATCGCTGCAAGTACAAACATAACGTATAAATGTTAATTATAGACTTAACAAATATGTCCCAAACTAATCGATAATCATATAAAATGAAAGTACTTACAGAGAATGAGATAAATTATTATCCGCTTATTTAACATTTTAATCAGAGAAATGGCCCCTGTAAGAAAATAATATGTTGTACATAAAACACCGATCGATCCCAAGTAGAGTTAGCTTGTTAATTAAAATACGACCCCGTTATCGTGGATAAAATCGATTGTTAAGCATTAGCGACATCGTGGGAAAAAGATTGCTCGATATTCGTCTTCGTGAAACTCTTACTCGTTCCACTCACGGTCTGTTTCCATCGTGGATTAAAGCAATTTTGTCACGCTCTGATCCTGAGGAAAACTTTCTAGATGAAATGGCCTCCATCAATCATCGATTTAAGCGATACTTTGTGTTTCGTTCTTGGAACCGTTTGAAGTTTTCTTTTCACTATAAAAAAATAAAAGAAAAAAGGTAGTATCAGCGACAGCAGTCGCGTACATAAATATCACTTGTAAATTATACAGAGAGAAGACATTTCATTAAATTGTTCGTTGATCTATCAGCAAACAGGATATTCTCGTTAACCTGATAATTTACTTGACAAAAATACTAAAAACCGGAAGAACACGTAGAGCTACGCGGCAAACACAGGTGTGTTTTAAGTAGCCCCATGGAAAGCGACACACTTGCCTAATTTTACGCTCGATCCTCCGAAGTCTGTTGCCGCGCAAGGATTTCCGCGTTTGCGTATTCAGTAGTGTGCATGGCCATGTCAATGCGTAATTCAATTTACGTCCACCCTCGCGAAGACGAATAATCAGGAGCATGCTTGAACTCACGAAAGAGAACGTCTTTTCCCCATTGATTGTCTCGAACGCCCACGGTATAAAAATCATTCCGGTATTAACCTCCTTGCTGTCAAATCGAATGATCTGTAATAATATTCATATAAGAAAAATTAACTAGTGAACGGAATCGTAATTATCGAGCGGGTTTAAAGTGGCTATTCAAATCTTAAGACATCCGGGTTTCAGAGTAACCGGAAGTTGGCGTCGTTTATTTTTATACCTTTGTAATAAGCGAAAGCAATTGAAAGATAATGCAAATCGAGGTGAATGCAAATACGAAAGGAAAGATTCCGTTTGTCAAAACAACTAGAACTAAGAATATTCGCGAAAGTGGTTCTTAGCGTGTTATTAACTTTCCGTGTTGAATGATTCAGTATTTCTGATAACAGTGTCTTTTATGCGCAGCCAATAGATTCTGCAGGGTATTTCATTTGTATTCCTGAACTTATATTCATTGGAGAAGTCGATGAAATGTGAATAATCTTGAAGTGACCTTGACAGTTTCACCTATCATAGTTGATGGATATATCGAAATTGAACGATCTTGAAGTGACCTTCGCATATTTCATGACTAAACAACAAAAATTGTGAATGATAGATTTCAATTCAAATACCGAATGAAAATGGAACGTTCTGTATATTTATCCGTGCCAATTCTAAAATCGAAATACGCAGAGAATTTAAAATAACGTGTCTGAATAACAACCTATTTGTATCCGACGGAAATGATAATTACCCGCAGCTAAGAACCACCATCTGCACGACAAACGAATGAACATTTTTTTTTCTCATGATTTTAGTATATCCTCAAAAGCAACAGTACGCTTATGCCGGCTACCCAGCACCGGCAGCATATCCAGGACCATACTACCACGGATCGCAGTACGGACCATACAACTACTGAAGAAGCCTCGTGTCATCTCTACCAACAGTGGAAAGAGTCTAGAGTGCGGAGCGTGAAACGTGCTCGCAATGAACAAAACATAATCTGGCAAGCGATGATCCCCAAAGGGAATGATAAAAAAAGAAACGAACGAGACAAAAAACGAAGACTCCGAGAGGCCGATCGTAAATCCCAAACCGAGCCTGTGCGGGGAGAGAAAAAAAAAAGCAGAGAAGAAGGACGACCTTGGGTCCCGCCCTAGGCATAATTTATCATTTGTTTTAAACGCTACGTTATGGACGTTGTGGTGCATACCCGCGGGTCCCACGATCTCCCATCTCCCTTTTCTCTTTCGGCAGGTGTCCGTTTGGTACGTGATCGCTCGCACGGGATTCAGTTTGACTCGCGAGAAAGACAATTGCTCAAAAACAATCCGCGTACTTACTTAGAACTGGGATGACCCTCTATATATATTTTTTCTTTTTCAAATCTAATATTTGTACTGCATTACTCTTCGTATGTGCTGTTCGTGCTAGGACAATAATAATAGTAATGGTAATAGTAATAATAATGCGTCTTGAGCGTGGAAGAGATATACATACATACCTGGTCGTTGATTACATGTTTGATTGGCTACATGATCTTTCTCAGGGGAATCAGGAACGTTTACCGTTCAGCATTTATCCCGCAATATCGTGACGTCGAATTTCTGAAAGTACTGTATGATTGATGAGGTTAACCATTTATTCTGAGTGTCTTACTTTCAACTACTTTTTTATTCTTACTGTAAATTGACGGCATCGTATCACTGAATGCGTCATTACCTTTGTTTGCATTCTAGCAAGAAATTTGTTAATTGCAGGAAGAATAATTAACAGTAAGGAGAAATCGGTAACTAAGTAAGAGTTAGTAAATCAAGGGGAAAGTACGTGGAATAAATATTGCGGTGAAATCTTTGTTTATTTATGTTCTAATCGAGTAGAAATTTCGATCGTGGTTGTTAAAAGAAAAATTCGGCAACATGGTGCAAGAGAAACATCCATTAGTCAGATCGATGTAAATGGCAGAAAGCGTAAAATGGGTGCATCGTATCATTCACAAATATCTCATTTCATAAGAACGATTCGCATCATCGACTCACTAGACTTTCTAACGTATAGATCTTTTCTTTTTTTAATAACGACATGTAAGATTTTTTGTTGCGGTATCTTTACGTAAGGTATTAAGAAGTAAAAGATATTTGAATAACTTTATACACATTTCTTTGAGTAAATAAATTAAATCAGATTTATTCCTATTGCTACTTCTTCCAATTGTTACAGTTATACCGAGAAAGTTAGACAAATGGACTAGAAATTTGATAATGTAAGTATAACTGTTTGCTTATGTACATTTGAAACCGTTTACTGTTTTCAGAAACAAATACTATGGAAAATCCTAACCCTTTATGTACTATAAAAGGTGCAACGTATCATTAAAAGTTGTTTAATATATTTGGTACGTTATCAACGTGTGAATAATTTTCTTCTACTCACCCATCAAATTCCAGCTTGACTGTTTTGTTTCTCTTTTTATCAATCGCAAGATGTCCATAAAATTAAACCGGTTTGAAGACACACTGTTCCTTCGAGATACGTACGTTTTAAAAGTTCAAACTTTGTAGCTATTTAAATTTCGTTCGCTATCGTGTATCAACTCTAAAATACTTTGACATATTAAATAAAGAAATATATTTAATAAATATTGTTTAATTTAACATTTATAATTATTTTACTTACCTAAAGTTTTGAAAAATAAAGATAAAAATTTACTCTATGCATATTGCTTAGTGCAATTAACCAGTAGAAATCAAGACTTGTATCAGTCACGTGAGCATCGTTTCAAAATGGCTGCGCAGATTTAACACCTACAATGGTTCTTTCGCGGCATTCAGTTCAGTTCAAGTTTGCTAGAGTGTATGATGATGATCGCCCTCATTTGGCAAATTTGTTTACTTTTTTGCTGTTATTTAATAACCGGCTCAAACATTATAACTCAAACACGTTTTCAAAATGAAAAGGTAAATAATACACGCAAGTCAAACATTTTTGTCATTTATTCACTTTTATCGAATACTTTCACTTTTCCTGTGCATATTCATTTTCAAAAGTCATCTTTCACAATACATCTCATTGATTATCATCAACATACATTAGTTACAGTCATGAAATGATTCCAGTACTATCACATGCCAGCTAGGCTATCAAAAAATCAAATAATGAAATTGTCAGATCTGTCAAATGTAGATCATATAGAGGAAGTTTTAGATAACATATGTGTCGTGAGAATCGTTGGAACACCAGAGCATACAAGAGTAAAAAATGTAAGTTACAATAATATAAATGTTAGAAATGTGTTCCAATAAGATATATTCTTTTAATTATAAAATTATAATATTATAATGGACTTGGATTCATTACAGTATTAATAATTTCAATATAAAATTGCGATATAAAATGTGTAAACAAGATGTGATGTAATTAAAGGAAAATTACAATTATTGATAAGAAAAATTCTGTTTTTCCTTATAGTACATTAAGAAGTCAATGGAAGATCTTGGTTGGTCTGTGGAAACTGATAAGTTTGAAGAGCAAACTCCAACTTTTGGAATTTTACAATTTGAAAATATAATTGCAAGATTAAATCTTAATGCAAAACGATATTTGACATTAGCTTGCCATTATGACTCAAAGTATACTAGAAAAAGGAATTTTATTGGTGCTACAGATAGTGCAGTACCATGTGCTCAAATGATTAACTTAGCTAAAGTTATGAAGAATTATTTAGACTCTATAAAAAATGTAAGTGGTGTATTATCAATAATTGTTATTCAACTTTCCGCAATCATATCAGTTTTATTTGCAGAATGACGTGAGTTTAATGTTCATATTTTTTGATGGTGAAGAGGCTTTTAGAGAATGGGGTCCGAATGATTCTATTTATGGTTCAAAACATTTGGCCAAAGTGTGGCATACTAATTATACTGTTTATGAACAGGGAGAAAATATTTCTGAATTGGATAAAATTGTAAGTATTAGTAAATATATAAAAACCTATATAAATATACATTGCTTATTCTTTTTTATAGGATTTACTGGTTCTATTAGATTTAATAGGTGCACCAGATCCAACATTTTACAACTACTTTAGTAATACAGAAAATTGGTATTCTTTGTTGATGGCTGTTGAAAATAAATTAGCTTCCTTAAAAAAGTTTGAGTCATATTCTTATGAACAACGTGTACAAACATACTTTCAACCATATTCCATGGAAGCTCATATTGATGATGATCACATTCCTTTCTTACATCGAGGTAAATATTGATTTTTACATGTACATATATTGTATACTGCATGTATTTATTGTAAAATGTTTATTTTAGATATTCCTGTCCTACATTTGATACCATATCCTTTTCCAAAGGTATGGCATAAAACAAGCGATAATCGTAGTAATATCGATTTAAAGACCACAGAAAATGTCAATAAAATCCTGAGAATTTTTGTAGCTTTATATTTACATATCGATGTATAATTAACAGTTGGAAAATATTTATATTGTTACGAAAAATTTTATTTTTTATCATGGCAGTATTAAATAACGTTATACAGATATAATATAATATGTTAAGTGACAAATATAAAAGTAAAAATATTTTATAATAAACTTTGAAGACAAAAAAATTGAACAAATTGTTTTAGACTCGATTTATAGATTTAGTAATTTGATAATTTATATATGCACTTTTGTACTACATGTAACTTTTGTAATATGCCTAGTTATGCACAAATTTACGTATATACTGAAAAACAAGAAATAATATGTGTATATTATAAAATATTAATTTGTTATTATGAATAAAATATGTTCTTTGAGTCATAAGTGAAATAATTCCAAAAAGAAAAATACAAGTACTATGACGTCAATTACAATTGGAAATGTCATTTTAAATGAGCATGCGGAAATGGAAACATAGTGATATATACTATTCAGGAAATCATTCTAACACGTGACTTCCGAATACATGTTTTGAATAAGAATTCAAATATCACACTATTATAAAATTCTATGTATCACCGTATCTTTGCTCTTTAGTACTACAGGTATCAAGTAGCTCTTTTTTGTTATTTATATGATATAAACATTAATCTCATATTAATAAATATGAACACGTTTATATTTTATCAAAACGCGTTCGATTTTAACTTTCTATTTTTTAGTAATGTTACATTATACTGTTGCATATAATAAGTGTAAAGTAATAAATTATTTTTTTCAAATACTATATTATACAAAGTATCAAAATTTTGTAAGACAAAGTAACGTTATAAAATATTTCTATGAGGGTAACGGTTAGCGATTGAATCAAGTGAAAGTGGGTATTCGATCGTGAAGTTTGGCAGGCCTGTTCGAGGTCATTGTTCGTGCGGGCGCGCCCGACTAGGCTTTCGTTACGATTTTAACCGAACATAGGCGATTTCGACCGAGCATGGTCGAACATAACCGAAACATGTGATTGGTGGAAAGCCGACGCGACGGCGAAAGACACGAGAGACGCGAGCGACAGACGTGGAATGACTTCACGCCTCTGTCGAGTATTTCAATGGTTTTACGTGTTCGTTCGTATCGTAAGTTAGACAGCAGGCTGGGCCATCGTGCGACCTGTCGTCGAAAACCATTCTCTCGATAGACCCGAAAAAGTTTCGCGTAACGTCACTAAAAAACTCGTAGCGGCTGACACATTGGTCAGGCAGACTGGAATCAGTGAGTGAGCGAAAGAGAAAGAAGGAGAGAGTGCGGGAAAGGGAAAAAGAAGGAAGGAGGAGGATACGGCGTGAAAGACAGGGGACTGACGTGTTGCAGGCGTATCGGACGTGTGCGGCCGAACACACCGACGAAATACGTATTGCGGTACGCGCGCGAGTTTTACCGTTCATTCAAGAATGTTTTAATTACGAGAGGTCCTCGCGGTCTTAACCGAGCCCTTCGCGACGGCAGTGATACGTCGTGGCGTTACACCTGAGGATTAACCGTTTTTAACGGACGTGTCGCACCGCTCGAGGAAGAGACAACGCCGACAGAGATGTTGAAGTTTATCAGAGGGAAGGGCCAACAACCTACGGCCGAGCGACAGAAACTGCAAAAGGATCTTTTTGCCTTTCGAAAGGTAAGTCTCGATTAAAAGTTTCGCCCACACCCGGCCCGGCGAAATGCGCCGACACTTTCTTTTACTTGTCTGCTCCTATGAGACTACTTTTTTCTCTAGACGTCGAGATTACTGAAATAGATTAGATTCACCTTTGCGACGAAACAAATTTACCATGAATAACTTATTTAAATATAATCATATTAATGCGTTAGCATTTTCAATGGAAAGCGGACAACTTCGATGCACCAAGGAAAAGCTGTTTTGCACCGTTTTTTATTCATCGTGAAGAAAAGTGAGAGTGAACATTGGGACAAACTCGTTTTCATTTATATTTAAAGAGTATGTCTTTTGCAGTTATACAGTATTTCTTTTTCTTTTTGGTCCCTTTATTCTATTAATTTCGGTATCTTAAAAAGGACATCATAAATAATTTTGGCATTCCGTTTTCCCATACATTTGGAACGTTTCAACTGGAAAAAAAAGTGTCGACTTAAATTCATTAATCGAGGTTAGAAAGTGAATTTTATCAGGTACCTATCAGTTCTTAAAACAAACCGATCCTTCGTATTCTTTTTCCATTTTATTTACACATTCATTATTTATAAGTCAACAGGTTTGCTATTGAAAGTTTATTCTGTTACCACGTCAGATAGTAATCTTCTGTTTCGTGATATCACGATGTTGACACGCGATGCGTTTTACAGAACACAAGTTCTTTTTACTCGTAAGTTCCTCGATCGTTTTACGCATAAATCTTGTCTGTAAAAAAAAAAAAGAAAAGAATAAACTGAAAAGATGGTGAATATCACGATTCAAGGAGATCCATAAATATACCATGATATAATTCGTACATAGTCAAAAGAAAAAACCTGTTCCGTATTTGTTCCTGATAAAAGAGAATCGAATGAATTCGACTTTAATTTGGGTTTATCGAGCGCACGCGTTTAACGCGCGATAAAACGCGCCAGGATTCGCTGTTTCTTTTAAATTAGTGACAGTTACGAATAACCTGTACATAACGAGACACTGATACCCTTTATATCATTAAACGAATAGTTCACACAGTATTTTAAATCAAATATCACATTTAATTTAAAAAATTTGCCTAATTCTCTTTACTTTAATTATCGAGTCGACTTCGTTCAAATAAAAGCGCGCTTGTCGCCCTCTATTGATTTAAAAGAAGCATTGCGAAACGTGTTTGATTAACCCTAGCACCATCCAGGCTACCTTTGAGAGGCTGCTTTCATGGTGGAATATTAAGATTCTAAAATTGCCTTCGTCCAAGAACATGATACAGCGTGTTTTAAGAATGAACGGTGCAGAATCAACAGGTCGATACCCGAACGTAATCGATACCGAAAGTCTAGAAAACGACGGGTGGCCGAGACACGGTGCAAGAGTCAGGATTATTGTGGTTGTGCGGTGTGGTGCGTTTCTTTAGCGGTTCTGTCTCGGCTGGCTGTCATCGTCGCCGGCCATCGGGTGCACTGTCGCGAAACCTTATCGTGGTTTAATTCTCCGCCTGCTAGATTCAAAGTTTGACGACGCGGATTGCGAAAACAGTCGCGAGTGCAATCAAGTCGTGCCGGTTCTGATCGATCCGTGATGGAGGACAATTTTTCTGCGACACCTTGGAAATCCCGCCGACCGTTACAACTGAAATTGCATATCCCATAGTTCCTCCGTTCCGTTGTTTTTCGTACGATACAGGGAATGCGCGGATTCGGAATGGACAATAGGAACGTTCCGTACATTCTAAATGTGTGCGTATACGTTACTTTCGTTCGGTCTGAAAATGAAATAGGAAATGTAGGTTAATCTGTAGGTTAAGCAATTATGGGCAGAAGTAGCGCGCTCTGCGCGGTAAGATGTACAAGTTGGAAAAAGTAGAAAGCCCTCGGCATGGAGGGCGCCTGTTGCCTTAATTAAAGTGGTCACATTTACGCAAACCTGGTGTTTACGTTGCAGTTTGGTCTGATCGAAACTCGAATAACATTTGATTAGATTACATCACCGAATGTAGCTATTTTGTCGCCTGATTGGAAAAAGGTGTGGGATGATTATTTTAAGAATCGAATCATTTTGGAATGTTTGGAAACTGATAAATGTTTTTAACAAAATTTTAACTCTATTTTAGGTGTTTTATATTTTTAGAAGTGTTTCATGCGTCTTAAAACGAGAAGGATTAATTGTACTAATCCCTGTACGGCTTTATTTCGGGCAAATAACGTTTCGTTTCTAGTATCGATTCTATCGATAATTCTATGTGCTCGTTGTAAAGAAAAAAGATACGAGGAAAGATATCATCGGTTTTCTGTGCAAACAAACGCATGATAAGATGCCTAGCCCTTTTTACGTTCGCTTTAATATACGCGCACAAATGTACCGTTAGACTAAGCCAGTTAGGTTAGATATGAACTGACACGCGCGGATTATTTCGAAGATTTTTATATAAATTAATACGGGCAGAAGGATAAATTTGTTTGTATTATTTTTATTCTATGACTACTCCAAATTAGAAATTTTTAATACATATCCCTCATATATAACTTGAATATTATGCTACATAAAAACATAAATGATTATTTTGTACAACTTGCTCATTAAATATAAAGCAAATAACAAGCTCTGCAATATTTCAAGCATTCTAGAAAAGTACATACCCATAATACTAACATGAAGTATTTACGTTGAAGAAATGTCACATTGATTTATCGATCGAACAATAACTTACAACGTTTTCAGGAATAAAATTAGATCTCCGTATCAGATCGAATATTTTGTTTTATCAAAAATAAAAAAAAATAATAATAAAAGCAAACAAACTGTTAAGTTTCTAATTATAGATCTAACGTTATCTTTATCAATACCAAGATTTTGTAAAAAGTAATAAATCTTTCAAAGTTTTATTATCGATCGACCTTTTAACTTCATACCAGTCGATAAAACCAGCAATTTTCGAAGTCATAATTTCTTCGGTTGTATGTGTAACTATAAACAAAGGCACCGTTTGATCAATGTTTAGTTAACGTAACTGCAATCGAGGTTAGGTTCATTGAGATTAAGCTAAAACTGAGGCCAGGCCAGATTAAACCTTACCGAGGAATCCTTTGTTATGCTTGTGACGACTCGTGCTTACGCACCTTCTTACTTTAATTCGTACAGTATGTTCTTCCGAAACTGAAAAGTGGCGACACCCTTTCTCATGGAAATTACTTGGGTCAAGGTCGCATTCCTCCCTGCCGTACCGACAAACACCCGTTTTCCTAATCGCGCGGTAAAAACGCACGTCAAATCGATATTATGGTCAGCCCTAAATCTGGTACCGTAAGCGTGACTATCTACCAAGAATCTTTTAGTTCAGGTAGAAAATGCTTTAGCATTCTCCAAATTTTTAGCAACTTATCAGCTATTATAAAACGTTGCAATATTTTGACACAGTACATTTATTTTTTACACTAACGTAACAAACGTATATTTGGCGAAAAATAACAATTTTTTTATTTTGCAATACATAATAAATACATTGAGCGGAACTCGATTATTTACAATAATGTAATGTCTCGACCATAATTTCTAAAGATAAACACCTCAATTATATTAGTTTTGCAGTTACGAAACAGAAGCATAGAAGAATCACCGATTTCAAGGTTTCTTTATTGTGTTAATCTGAGGTTTCATACATAATCATCGAATAAAAGTATCTTTAGTAGGAGAGCACGTGTACCGATAAGAGAGTACATAATTTTCATCTTACCATATTTGTCCTTCGGGAGTAAGGAAAAATTACTCGAATCTTGCTCGATAAGATTCCCTTATCGAGAATAACAAAGACGGTTAAGAGATAATTTTCGAGTACCTTGCCCTCCCTCACAGGATGTGCGTTGTCACAGTGTATTACAGAAATGTTTTAATTGCCAATCGTAAAATAGATTCTTTATAATTCCGTTTACCGACCAGTAGGTAAATATGTGTGCACTCAGTCGATAAAACCGCTCGATTAACGGGTCTGACGAAATCTGACTCATCGATGAGTAATTGATGTGGCTTTCGCCGAAATTCGTGTTACGAGGCAGAAGGTACTAGAAAGTCGGAAACGACAGTCGTTTATAATTAGTGTTAATTGCATTCAAAACGAGTCGCGGAAAAGGGAGGACACGATCGTTAACCCGAGTGTCGGTGTTTCCCTTAATTGAGCTTGCCTTGTATCCTATTTAATTACCTTGCCATGGTCGCCGTTTCTTTTTCTATTTTTCATTTTAACCGTTGGCGCGTTACAAATGGATCAGTAAGCTTCCCGTGTTACTCGAAAGGTGGCCTACGACTTTTTTGCCAATTACACTCATGGCGATTCTCTTTTCTTTTACTTCAGTATTACTGATATATGGAAGTCTGAAAATTATATATTGCTACCCCGTTTTTACAGTTTAAAACACTTTAACAGGTTGTAATATGGTGATTGATATACATCAGTCCTTCTCTTTCATTTCCTTCTCCCCTCTCTGTCATCACATTTATACTCGTACGATTACTTTAACCTCAGAAATAATAAAAGTGATCATATCATATCAAATAAGTGGGGATTAAAAAGAAAGCGGGAGGTTAATAACTTGTGGAAGAACCTAGCCCTTGGAAGTAATGAATTGGGCAATAAATCGAAGGTTAGGTATCAAACTGATATTTCATTTAACATTTAATCTTTCTCAAATGAGTTCGTACTACAGTTTCTTGAACCTCGATTAAACTATTAAATTTGATTTTGTTCTCGTAGGTAATTCAACTTAATTCCTTTTACTTGTATAGTAGTTTCGAGTAAATTGATAGTTATCAAGGATCAAACTTTTGCCCCCGAGCATGTGCGCGCGTGCGTACGCTTACCAGCGACAACGCGCAGATAGTATACACTATTTTTAGCGAGTTTCTCGTATAAATAGTCTGCTGATTACAATGGACAATGTACAATTATTACGAAGAATGGTCAGATGAAATGACCAGACCAATTTATGAATTGAGCATGGCGACATGACTTGATCCATCAAGTGAAAAGCTTTGAAGAAACATATTTGCATGCGTGTCTGTTTTCAACGCTCACTGTTAAAACTAGTTTTGTCTTATAAGTAGATTTAAACTGTTTTGTAATTGTACTGGATAAGAGACCACTTATAAATATCCTAGTAAAAAATAATTTCTATAAAAATACGATACTGGAAAACCACGATTAAAGATGTTAGATAATGTTAAATTGATAACGATATATATATTCCGGTACTTCAATACATCTGTTTCGACATATAAGTATCAGAATTATTCCCTACGTACTTAAGACATCGAGAATAATGCAAATGGCTTAATTAGCATTAAGTGCTATAACTTGTCGAATAAGAAATGATAAATTGCTTGTTAATGATAAGCAACATTCTACTCAAATGACCTAAACGCAAAATATCATTAAACACAAGAATTCTCATTTATATAATCTTAATCCACTTAAGATGGATACACGAGAATAGCCAAGTATCAATTTTCTACCATCATCGAATCTATTAATAGCTATAATTAATCAAAGTAATTACAATCGTTTTCTGTTCTTTGCAGACAGTGCAGCATGGGTTCCCAAACAAACCCACAGCCCTTGCATGGGATCCGAGTTTACGGCTGATGATCATTGGCACGGCATCCGGCGCCATCAAGGTGTATCCTTTTTACTCTAGTCGCTCCTTTGCTTTCAGACATCTCACCTTCCCTTTTCTCTTCTTTTTATTTTTATTTCTTTTTCTATTTTCTTCCCCTTTTCTTTTCTTCCGATATTTATAATCTAGTGACAAGGCACCATCTCGGTGCTCGATGACGTTCGTATCTACCGATAAATCATCGAAAGCCTTCGAGAGCCGCTGGCCGTAGGGAAACGGGAACGTAATTGACGCCGTTTTCTTCTGATCTCTTTCTTTCCCCGCTGTGGTTACTAATTTTAGATACGCGATACTCGATATTTTGCGATCCCGTCAAAGCTATTCCTCGATTCACGCTTCGGCTTTTACAGCCACAGCTTTCATTCAGAAAACACGTTCGTGCTTTTTCTGTTGTGACAGGCGTCAAACCGTGGGACAATCCATATCTTTTATTGGCGTCATCTTCACGAGAAAATTGCGCTGGTCGGTCGGTAACTTCTTTTTCCTGGTGTGGATTCTAGAGGGTTTCGTTACCGAGTGATGAAATCGAACTTGGAGTTAAGTTCCCTATGGGACACGGGACGTCGGATGTGAAAGTATCGAAGTGTCAGAGAGTCGTGCATAGGAATATAAATTAACCCATGTGTTCTGATTCCGATTACGCCTATAGAAAGATGAAAGAGCACGGAAGTATTAAAATATTACGTGAGGGGATACGATTTATGGTAGAATATAGATCGGAGATATACTAACCGAAACTAGAAATGACGGAATAATTATATATGGCGGTAGAAGTCGAAAGTAACGCGATCGAAGATGTAAGATTGTTAGAAATGAGCGAAAGGAGTTTAGATCGCGTTGTATGTTATAGTCCCCTGCTGGAAGGAAAGTCGATGATGGCGGACATTTGAAAGTTTAATCAGTTAACCGGAGAAGCGCTCGTGTCGTTTTCCAGGAATCACAAATCTGCGCCCTCTTGTTCGTTCGAGATTCGTCTTCGTTGCGAGAACACACGAAACTCGACACTAACGTCATTTCTCTTGATGCATGGTTTATGTACCGCAGAGGTAGTAAATCATTCACGGAAAACGTACAATGTTAACTCGAAATTATGCAAACATCTTCTGAAACCATCAAGAAACTCATTAACGAAGAAATGGTTAGGAATTAGTAAACGTGTAGACACATCGAAGACGTGTTTTTATTACCTCGTTACCCAGTTCATGGTAGGTCGCTTATCGATTCAGCAGGGTGCTAGTCGGAACACTTCGTTTCATTTCCCTAAGTTATAAAAGATTAACAAAAAGTTTTTTACTTTATATCATCGCGTGTCCAAATTGTATTTAATAATTAAATATAATTAAAATGTAACTCGAAAATCCTTTCAATGAGAATCTTTAAATCGATCACTTTGAAGAGTTAATTAAGAAATGGTATATCGTCATTGCTTTTTACCAGTTGCTCGATGCATGTATGGTTTGAAAAATTTTAATTGCAGGCGTACAAAAGGTTTGATTCCCAATACGCTAGTGCGTATACTTCGTGTGCATACCGCTTACTTTATTCGCATCCCGATTGCAGATGCTCGAATGGCTACGTAATCGGTGGTAGATCATTATCATTTCGCAAGATTGATGATAAACGTCTTTACCGCGTCTTGAAGGAAATTTTATTTGCAATTGATATTAGAGAGGTACAAAACGTACGGAGTGCTTATAAAATGTTTATCATGTACGAACCTTTGTCTTTGTTTTATTAGCAACCTGTTTGTACATCGTGATACTTGTGTCTAACGAATGTTGCATGGAATAGTGCGTTTGAAGTGGAACTGTTGCACGATGTATGTCGGGGATCAGAGTAGAATTCGACGACGATGTAGAACGTCTGTATCTATTCCGTGGATCGAACACAATCGTAGGTATCGGTGCGTTGAATCGGTCATTTTCGAAACAAGAGTGTCGTTTGTTTCTAGATAGAAATGGTGTCCTACTGTTTAGAATAGAGGTACCTAGTTTTCACTGTTTTCCTTGACTGACGGACGATAACAGATTTGGTAGGCCAGGTGTGGAATTCTATGGACAACACACCATTGAAAGCGGGGAAAATGCTGTGACAAAGATCGTCGCCCTGCCCAACGAGGTAAGAGTCACCATTTATTTATCGCTACTGCTTTTTATTAAGTTGTTAAATCTTCACAGTTTATAGTCTCGTAAACATTATCATTTAACGATTTTAACGTTTGGGTAAGTACACACATTTATCGGTTTATTTCTCCAATCTTAAATTAACAAGAATAGAATAAATATTAAATACTCACGGATAAGCCAAATGGAATAAAAACGAATGACTCACCGTAGAATCTTTATTTGCGTAAAATTTTGTGAATCAAAATATGTAACGACGTATACACGTGTATATATATATATGTGTGTGTCGAAACAAATGCCAGCTGACGATAATTCGAAGTTCGAATTTCTTAATGACCGTGCTAATAGTTTTTAAAGCTTACAGAGAAATTATATTATCTGGCTAATGAGAAATTCCATAAATTGTTGACTTACTTCGAACTGAACTGTACATAACCAATTAACTCTGACGCTTAACCTCTTCTCCATCAGAACGCCCTCTTCGAACGTTTGAGTTTTCCCTCGATTCGACATCGATGTGTCCATTCGTGGAGGTTAGATATTTATCAAAATTACAAGGAGAGGAAAAAAGCATTTGAAACGGGCCTTAATGCCAGGTCCGAGCGATAGTAATATCTTCTACGTACATTGTAATCAAAGGGACACGGAGGTGTGAAGTTATGGTTGTTTTAAAAGTCACACGCGTTGCACGAGTAACGCGACACCTTGTTCGGCTTATACTAGCGTCGTTGCTGAGTTGCATAACTGTGTGCGACACGCGCGACGCGCTTTTGCACGCGTGTACGAATAAATAATATACGAACACCATTGTCGTCCGTTCCATAAAGGTCGGGAACGTATACCACTCGCGGTGCTTTTCCTGTTTCCTTCATTTTAAATACAAACCTCGTAGCCGGGAAAATTTCGTTATGAAATTCATAGTGTAATTTAATCGATGACGGAATCGTTGAAGTACCATCGAGATAATCGATATATTTTTTTCTATTTTACTCTTTTTATTTTTAGCCTTTTATCTTTAGTTTTATTTGTTAATTTTATACGTTTTAGAAGGGAACTATAAAGAAACGTTTAAGTCCTGAACCCTTCATCTATAACGCCATTTTACAATAGATAAATAGTTACTTGAAAAAAATATGTTCTTCGTATTATGTATAATGATAGTAGATATAGGAATAGAAAAGGTGTAGATATGATAGAGTCTTCGATAACGTCTTGTCTTGGTGCTTGAAACGCAGTTAATTTTAATATTAATTTCAATTTTCTTTATTTTCTGCTGTTCCTGTGAAAATCAGTTTATTAAAAATTTATTATTTTACCAATTAATCGATGGTTTATATAAGATATTGATAATTATAATAAATTTAAACGAAAACAATACGTTAATCAAGTTGTATTAGTTGTACGAGAATTCTGACAGCGAGTAAAAGAACAGCGATAGTGAATGCGTGTATATATACATACGTACAAACGGATAGGAGCCGGGAGATAATTAATTACCAGTGCGGAAAAAAACAATGAGAGTAATAGGGAAAAGTAGCGTATAATTAAAAAAGGAAAACAAGACGGAATTACTTCATCGTTTGCCCACGGATACGAATAACGATAATTCTTTTCACGTTCATTTACCTTTGGCGGTAAAGTGCTTTTTAATAAGTTAATTTGATTGGCTCACAAGTATATACCATATACGCGGGAAAAATTCAAAATAGGTGTGGCATCGTCGATCGTTGCATTGAATCAAGCACCAACCTGCTTACTTCGCTTGTTATAAGTCATGAAATCTCGTTATCGCGATCATTCTTCAAGCGAATCCTAAAACCGATAAGATAGCAGCTGTACGATTATAATCACCCCACCGAGGCCATATCGAATCCCGTACGCCTCTTCTTTTTTTTTTCATATTTTGTTTGTTCCGGTGAGTAATCCACGATAAATATCACGAAACGAAATTTTAAAAGTTGACAATCGATTTTCGTTTGAAGGTCATTTCAGTCCTCTAAATATCTGTGTTACGTCACGATTAAATAATCGCGAATTAATTCGAATTTATTGGATTTTAATTTCGAATTAAAAAATTGAACAGAATCGAAGAAACAAGATTGGAAAGCAGACTAGACAATACAGTAGAGTATAAAACACTCTAGGCAGCCGTAATAGCGAGCTTTTGCTGACATAATAATCGAGTACGAGATCCTAATTATTTAACTGCACACGTTAATAACACGCGGATAGGGGACGCCATGCTCGTGAAAGACAGGTTAGGTAGTAGCGTGAATTCGCGTGAAAGCGAAGCACGCGGTAAATCTTCCTAACCTTATGTTTTCTTCGAGTTTTCACTTTGTCTATTACAACGGAGTCGTGACAAAAGACAAAAGAACGCGGGATTCGTCCCGTGAGAAACGATGAAATCGTGAAAACTGTCTACAATACGGTACTTATTATTTTGCTTATCTATATTATGACTTGGAGTTATTACGAAATCTCACGTTTTACATGCGCGTACAGAAACGAAAAGATAAATAAATTAAACATTGTGAACTGACATTCGGTTTCATTCATTAAAAGCAAATGCAACTAGTAATAATTTTTAGGTTAAGCGATGGTAAATGATTCGTTTATAACAAACGTAACAGGGTCGCGTAGTTTCTCTCTGCGATGACAACTCTCTTCACTTATGGGAGATCAACGAGAGTTCGGTCGTGGAGACCAAGTCGCTCTCGTTGGAAGGCAAATTGAAGAAAATCTCGGCGATGTGTCTCGAGTCGAGCGGCGAACACCTGCTCCTGGGAACGGAGGGCGGGAACATCTATCTTCTAAACCTGAAAACATTTGTGATGCCTGACAATATTATCTACCAAGATGTCGTGATGCAAAAGTAAGTGCAATTTATGTTTTACATTTTCGAAGTTCGCATGTTGTATGCTTGTGACAACTAGAGATATAATTAAGATAAACTTCTTAGAATAACGATTTGAAAAACTACTGTTGACAACTGGTCGTAAATTCGCGAGATACCGAGCGATCTTAACACGTTGAATCGACCTTTACGAGACAATGAGCTTCCAGCGCGAAATCATGTGAATCTCAATTTTTCTTGCCTAATTAAATTTCATTATGAAACAAAACGGTTGATCGTTAATCGCGAGGGAGTTGGTATTGAAATAGTTAGTTTCACGTGTCCGTGACGTATCAATGTTGTGACAGCGTGCCAGACGATTACAAGAAGAATCCAGGAGCGGTCGAGGCGATAGCGGAACAACCAGGTCACCCAGACAATATTCTGATAGGTTACAATCGTGGTTTAATGGTTTTGTGGAACAAAGCGACTCCTGGAGCCCAGCAGGTGAGCCTTCTTATTATTATTCTGTACCTTTCTTTACACACACATCTATGTGTACAAGATCATAGTGTGGCAGATGTAATGACATGCTTACAGGACATTTTAAACACATGTGCTTATTACATTTGTGGGGCAATGCTTAATCCATCTGTACACAAAGGTGCATTTATGCTCGAAATCCTTGCAAAAGGAATAATACCTATATATTAATTTTAATTAAATAACTTTAATTAAATTTTATTAGATAACATATACTGGAATGCTCAAAATATTGAAGGAATGCATATCTAAATAAACGAAGGGTATATTAGATACTATATAGAGTAGAAGGAATGCTTGAAACAATCGAGTAATATGTAAAAAAAAAAATTTGAATTTGAAATGGATTGTGCACTGATGAGTTAAGCATGTATTATAAGTTGGTACCGCTCGTTCTGATTGTTGTTTGTGTCTTTGGTGGTTTTGGCGAACGTGTACGTGCAGCTGATGGGTTTGTTTTCGCGTGCGCAGACATTCGTCTCCACGCAACAGCTGGAATCTGTCCATTGGGTCTCCGAGACCCGTTTTGTTTCCTCCCACAACGATGGATCGTATGCATTTTGGAGTCCAGGCAGCGATAGCATGTTGGACTCGACTACACCCTATGGACCATTCCCGTGTAAAGCTGTCACTAAAATTCTCGTCTATCCGACTGCAGAGTGAGTAGAAAATTTTTAGTCGATACCAGTATTTGCTTGCTGTGTTCGAATTGTACAATTCCGAAGTAATGAAACTATATAAAATACTTTACAGACATGGAGAACTGGTTTTATTTTCGGGTGGAATGCAACGTGCAAGTTATGGCGATCGTCACACCATTACTGTTATGGCGAAAGAAAGAAAACATGTTGTTTTTGATTTTACATCAAAGGTGATCGACTTTTTTACTGTATTTCCTAAACAAGAAGATGGGAAAGATACTCCTGATAACCCAGAAGCGCTTATAGTATTGGCTGAAGAAGAGATCGTAGCCATTGATTTGACTAATCCCGAGTGGAAAATGATGGCATTACCATATTTAGTATCTCTCCATGCAAGCGCGGTAAATATTACATAATTTATAGTATACGCTTGCATAAGTACTATAATATATCCTCTATATTATGTTTGCAATATTCTTATTTGCAGGTTACTTGTTCACAACATGTTCCAAATGTCCCCGACGAATTGTGGGACAATATCATCATAGCTGGGAAAGCACAAACGGAACATTTATACTCGGATAAACCATGGCCTATAGACGGTGGAATTATTCTTAATCAGAAATCGGGAAACGATAAACCAAAAGGCAAAGAATTATTACTTACTGGTCATGAAGATGGAACTGTGAGGTTCTGGAATGCATCCGACGTTGCTCTAACACCTCTATACAAATACAACTCGTCTATCTTGTTTACTGGCGAACACCTGGATGTTCTTGAACAACCACCGGAAGATGACGAGGATGAGTGGCCACCATTTAGAAAAGTTGGAACCTTTGATCCATACTCTGATGACCCGAGGCTGGCAGTGAAAAAAGTTTTACTTTGTCCATTGTCATCTACGTTAGTTGTTGCTGGCACGGCTGGGCACATAATTACAGCCACCATATCATCTGAACCTGTAAACAAGGAGATCAAAGCTATTACGATGAACATTGTGAACGATCGCGATGGATTTGTTTGGAAAGGTCATGATCATCTGCCGGCAAGAACAACCAGCATATCTTTCGCAGTCGGTTTTCAACCGCAAAGTCTTCTTCAATTATATCCGCCGGCTGCGGTTACAGCATTAGCTATACACAGTGAATGGGGATTACTTGCTGCAGGCACAGCTCATGGTTTAGCTGTTTTCGATTATACAAGAGCAAAGGCTGTCAACGTGAAGTGTACGCTCAACCCAAATGGTATTTATAGATATGCTTTTATATCAATTAGATAAAGCGTCAGTATATCGCTAAGAGAAATTATCTTACGACTTACAATTCTATTTTAGATCTTTCAGGAGCAGGTGATACACCGATTTCTAGAAGAAAATCGTTCAAGAAATCACTAAGGGAGTCTTTCAGAAGATTGAGGAAAGGAAGATCACAACGTCGAACGAATGCTAGTAGTCCAACTAGAAATGCGGCACCAGAAAAGAAGAAAGAAACGTGAATATTTTTTAAGTTGTTTAGATTATAATTGGTATTAATGTGTTAAACAATAATTATTTTCCAATTTTAAAAGGTCCAGTGTTGCTTCTTCACCGAGTGCTGATCTTTCCCCTGTAGAATTAAAACCTGTGGAAAGACAAGTGGAAGCAAGACCTGTAGATGATGCATTGGGTTCAATGGTTCGATGTTTATACTTTGCTAGGAGTTACATTATAAGCAGTAAGTATTTTTAATCAATTTTTAATCAAGTATGTAAATTATGAATATTTTGTAATATTTTTTTCTCTCTCTTATTCTAGTGCAAAATACGATGCCCACACTTTGGGCGGGTACCAATAACGGTACAGTTTATGTTTTCACGTTAGCGATCCCTGCTGGTGTTAGAAGAACAGAAGAGGATGTAAATTGTACATTAGGAAAAGAGATTCAATTAAAGCATAGAGCACCTGTAATTGCAATCACAATTCTCGATGGATCTAGCGTACCGTTACCAGAACCATTCGAAGCCGAAAAAGGTGTAAGTCCTGGCCCCGATATGGCTTCTCCACACAGAGTTGTAATTGCTAGTGAAGAGCAATTCAAAATCTTCAATCTTCCATCCTTAAAACCATATTGTAAATACAAACTTACCGCACACGAGGGTTCACGAGTAAGAAAAACAGGTTTTGCAAAATTCACATGCTCAATGGAACCTGCGGGAACACACGAAGAAACCTGTTTGTTATGCTTGACTAATCTCGGAGACTGTTTAGTGCTCAGTATTCCCGAATTGAGAAGGCAGCTTAATGCTGCTGCTATTAAGAGGGAAGATATTAAGTACGTGTATCTTTTTAATTATTTTAATATACAAATTTTTTTTAAAGTACTATAATATTATTGTTCCTTTCTTTTCCTTTTTTAGTGGCATTTCTTCGTTAACATTCACGAAAGCTGGCGAAGCGTTATATTTGTATTCAAGTTCAGAACTGCAGCGAATTTCATTGTCCGCTAGTAAAGTGACAAAAGCACACTGTGCGCTAAATTTGCCACCCAACGCCAGATCATTTCCTGAAACTAATAACGACGAAACTCAAGAACAAGGAGTGGTTGAAGGTACAGCTGAAACGGAAGGTGAAACAACACAAGGAAGTCAGCCAGCTACGGTGCAAAGGATGATTACAGAGAATGGTGTGGTGGGTTCCAGTGAGTATATCGTGTCACTTTACCAGATATCTTAATTCGTACTTAACATATATCGGACAATCTGTTAAACGTTCAACGTTATTATAGGATGTTTAAACGTGCTACTACTAAATATGCGTAACCGCTTGGCATATCTTATGTAACACGTGTTATGTATATATTTAAATGTTGCTTTGCTATAATTACTTGTGATTTATCAAACGAGCTAGCTGCTAAATTATACTTTACGCCAATTAACATAATCGAAAACCGCTGTTTCCTAACCCTTTAGTACCGATTCTTGAATACATGTATTTTAGCTGGTGGTGAAGAATCTCCAAAAGAATCACCTTTGCAACCAGCTACGAGTACTAATGATGTAAATGGAGAAGATGACCGTCAAGACTTAAGTTCTATTGGAGATATAACTATTGATAGCGTGAAGGACCATTTACTGTAAGTAAACGTGTTATATGTTTTGCCCAGCTTTTTATTGTTTTCTTTCACGCTTTTTTTGCTTACCTGTTTACAATTAATTTTATAACGATAAAAACAATAGAAAATAATTTTAAAGTTTTAAGGAAAAAAACAAACTTAATTTGGCAAGCTGGCTTCCATAGTACATTTGTTTTGCTGTGCTAATTGATGTATTTTGTATACTTGCCATTTGCTTGGCAGTAACAGTTCACTTTTCAGAAATGCAACGTCTTCCGAAGATCTTCACAGTCGTCTTGCAGGACTTAAGATGGAAGTAACTTCTCGAACTTCGGAGATATCTACTCAAAATCAATCCCTTGTGGTAAAGACCACTACCGTTGTTTCGCAAACAACCAACAATACTACTGCTAACGGCGAGATTGAAACAAGTCAGACAAATGAAACACAACAAATGAACAGTGAGTGAAATCATTGCTAATACAAATTAGTGTGAATTGAAAATTAATCGAGTGACCAATACATTATATTAATTTGATTCTTAACAATTCATGAAATTCTTTTTAAATGTATTTTTTAAATGAATATTTTTTAGGTCATCCAATATTACAGTATTTGAAGACTGTAAATAATCATATTCTTAATAATTTCATATATTATACAATTTATTGATTGCTTAATATCTTGTGTTTGTCTTCCGTTGCTTTGTAATTTCTGTTCTTTATTCTCTTGATATTATTTGTATTCTTTTGTTATTGTTTTGTTTTGTGCTATTTGTTGTTGCGCAGGCACTACGGTAGAGAGAGAGATACGCAGCGGTACTGAGACTACAACGACACATGCTACCATCACTCTACCCCCAAACGTCGAGGTCAGCAAACGGCACTGAATGTATTGCGATAATTGGTGTCGGACCTTACCTCGATATTAATTAAGCCTATAATTAACGCTTAGCATATTGTACGCTATTAATCTATTAATTAACATGATTTGCGTAGTTCAATTTATTTATGAATTGGGTAATTTGTTTATCAATTTTCAGATTACTCGTATATTTTACGACACAATGCTATTTAATTTATGATTGTACTTTACCCATACTAACAATTTTTTTGCATACTTATAAAGCTTTGTTTAACTGGATACTCGGTAGTTCTTGCAGAATATCGTTGAGGTTAAATAAAGGATAGATACATAACACATTATTTTTGATATTACAGATTAGTGCAGCTGATTTGGCAAACTTGGAGATGACGACAACTACAGTGACTACCGAAAAGTCGAAAGCTCCATTGGCAAGGCCTGAAGAAGTCGGTTCTTAGGAATATTGCAAATTGTCCCGTGTCCTACTCACTGATTTCATGCTCTATACTCAGAGCCACACAATAATTAGATTTTTTGTTACTTAATGGACTCACGTGTACACAGCGGCGATAGGTAGAATTTATATATCGTAGGTTTTTTAAAAAATCTAGATTTGTACGCGGCATTAGCGTTAGCCATAAACAATAAGCAAGTGAACTTGGAGTATTGTAGCGACGAACCAATCGAGATATATTAACTGCCAAGATCGTCGATATATTTTACGTTTTAACTAAACATTCTTACTGCATTTCTCGCAACAATCAATTTTGTATTGAACAAAATTTTCGGCGGTTTAGTGGAACTAGGCCTAGGTAATTTTAATAAAATACATTTTATTTGCAGACAAGCGTAACAAATTTTAAATGAAAAATTACAATGTTTCATGTTGTTTCATTTGTAGATCAATTTGTTAAAATATCATTTTATTAAATAAAATTTTAAAAGATTTTTTATTCTTAAAGCTTTCAAAGAAATAATCGAAATAAATTTTTACGATCCGTTTTATGGTGTGAAGATAAATATAATTTAAAAATTATAGCTTGTACAAAGAAGCAAAATACATCACAAATCGTGAACATGGCAGCCATATTGTAACGCAACGAATATGTTGTGCTACGTCATATTTCTAAATAATAAAATTAATAAAAAAGCGACTTAAATCATCTATATAGTATTTCAAATATTATATGGGCGTATCGTGACAAAGGATCAAGGAAAAAAAAATATGTTAAATCGATGCGCCTAACAAAATAAAGAAATAGCTACTTAAGTAGAATTATGTTATAAGAAAAGTTACAGAGATTAAGTGAAGGAAACTTAAAACACAACTATCAATGGCCATGACGTAAAGAAGGAGAGCCGTTAAGAATATATTTTTTATTAACATTTGTTAATCGTTAAGTTTCCTTTTCCTTTGCTAGAAACTACCATGGTACAATTAAACTATTTCTATCGAGCAGCATCGAAACGCGTTGAAATAAATTTATCTGAAGTAATGCAAAGAAAAATCTAACTGTGTTTTAGCATTGCACGTATGTCCGATTCTTTTTTAGATAACAAAAAGCTATTTGTTGATTATTTCTGGTGGAGGACAATTGCTACATATTATTTTTTATGTGAATAAGTCGTAAAATTCCACAAATGTACTATTATTATCAGTATGTAGTGATGTACTACGTAGCTTGGTTTGTGTTTGCGACAGTACGGATCGTATTTAAGATACCACGATTTTGGATCTCAATAAAATATTAAAAACAAACACAACTCCGTTTCATGGGGTAATTTCATATTTAGATTTATCTTTTATAATACTGTAATTAACGATTTTTTACAAAAATGAAAACGACTAAAAATATAAAATATTTTTACCGAAAACGACAGACTGATGCATGAAAGATGCATATTCTTTTGCATTTATTTGATTGATCATTAACCATTTAATTAATTCATGTTAATCCGAATGAAATTATTCATCTTTTATCGTCTGTCTATTAAGACTATACATGTATTAAAAAAATGTGTCAATTTACTGTTCGTTGATGCAATTAATGTGAGGCCTTTGTAGATAGATTTTAATCTTCCTCTAATTACATAATTCCTTATGACTTTTTATTTCTTTCAATCAACCGCTTCGCGAAATACGTTACTTGTACGCGGTTATTACAAAATAAATGTTATATAAGGTGTTCCAAAAGTCGACTATGCACAGTTTCCATTGAAAAAAAATCCCAATCATATATCTTGATATTTCCGTAGGACAATAATTTGATAAATTTACTTTTTATCAAATTCGCTTAGATTTAATTGTTCAAAGTCTCATATAATATACTGTGCAATTGGAGCACCCTGTATCATTAAGTTTATTACAGTTGTAAACTACATTAACAAGGTGAAGTCAATGCGCTAATTAAGATACAAAATGTATGAAAACAAACGTGCTTCTGCTACTGTAAAATTATTTGTTTTTTACCTTGATAAAATATTACACATTGTACACAATGAATTGTTAAAACTACTCCTAAACATTTCCTGTTTGTTCCTTTATAAAATATAAATAGTGAAACTTATATATGGTGTCTATTTTTAAAATATGTATAGAAACGGGTAATTTTTCATAAATTCGTTATCATATATTTTAATTTCGTATGCCTAAGATACTTTAAGCACAAAAAATATAAAATTATTTTTGAGAAATTACGTTTCTTAGAAAATTAAAATTTTTAGTTATAGTTAGATATATATACGTAGATAATTTATTTATTATGATTTTTTTTATAATGGAATTAAAACTAAAGAAATATCGATTAATCGCAAGCGAACCGGAAATACTATCGACCATGATTTAACCAATGTTCACCAGATGACGCAGAAGTTTTTCAGGCGTGTCGAAACGCGCTCGCGCTTGCGTCCGTATGTCTTCATCGTGTTCGTTGTGGTGGTCACGGTTGGGAGATAGTGAGTGTGCAACAGTAGAATAGGACTTATTGAGTAACGCGTCATAGAAAGTGAGCGAAAGTGATAGAGTGCTATGATAAAATAGTACGAATGGACAGTTGAATCTCATAATTAAAAGTTTGTAAAAAGGTTTGTTCGCGATAAAGTGTTGAAGAAGTGGATCGTGATTGGTGAATCTTAGACGGCCATAATTGTGCGCCATTCGGTTTCTGGTGCGGATCCGCGCAGCGAAAGGGCAGATGCCCTTACGCGGTTCGTGCTCCCATTGGTGGATACGCGCTGATCTACCCGGATCGACATACTTGACAAGATCCGGTAGTGTTTTTCGTAGCGCATTTTCAAGCTCACTAAATTTACAAAATATAAGAACGAGCGATCAACCATCTCTTGTGGGAGACAAGTCTTTTAGCAGTCAACTCGGTAGTCCGTGTGATCTCTGTCTAGCAGCAACAGTAGCAATCGCAGCGCCGTCAACAACACAACGTCAACGACAACGACGACAGTAGCGCCATCAGCGCGACCGCCATCGTAGCGAGAAGAAACAGTATTCCTTTGAGGAGAGAAAGAAGAAATGCCTGTAGGTTCGCGATCGGTGACGCGACCAAAGATGGAGGCCCTGTTCAGTTTGTAACACGGCAGCCAGGTCTCGTTTAAAGCGCACCAACGGAGCCACGAGCGCTCCTTGAGTCGGCTGCTTAAAGTCGCTTTTGCCCCGTGCTACTTTTCTTCGTGAGCCCTGTGAGGCTAGAGGATGGAGCTACGTGTTGGAAATAAGTACCGGCTCGGACGGAAAATCGGGAGCGGCTCCTTCGGCGACATTTATCTAGGTAACTCTTTACTTTCGACATTTACCTTTTACTTAGATCTCCCCCACCTCTTTACTATCCACCCGTCTACTCACACGACAGTTACATATTTGCCCTACGACACGCATGAACGCGCCAACTCCCCCGTGCACATACACATTTTTTTTTTCTTTTATAACTGCGTGACCGGGCCTCTGGCTTTTTTGTCGTTCTTAGGTACCAATATCTCCACCGGCGAAGAAGTCGCCATCAAGCTAGAATGTATAAAAACGCGGCATCCGCAGTTATACCTAGAATCAAAGTTCTACAAGTTGATGCAAGGTGGTGGTAAGTAAATTTTCGTTCATTATTTACTTTTTGAGTTGATTTTGTGTACTATCGAACATTTTGAAACTTACTGCGTCAGCCGAGAACTGTCAGAATTTTGTGTTTGTTAGACAGCTGGTTGGTCTGGCCACTGAACCTTCTCTCTCTCTCTCTCTCTCTCTCTCTCTCTCTCTCTCTCTCTCTCTCTCTCTCTCTCTCCTTCCTCTCCCCCTCCCCTTTCCTTAGTTCTCCGTTCTTCCTCTCTTTTATCCTCTGTTCTTTGTGACAATAAGGAACTTTACCGTTTCAACGTTTACATATTTATGTTAATCTTGATAAGGTAAATGATTCCAATACAAAATATTTGTATACACGAGTTGTTTATGTCTTCCAAACTTGTCGTGAAATGTGTATAACTAAAATTCATTAATTTCATTAATTAATTAACCCTTTGCGAACGAATGTGGACGAATAATATTTGGAAAATTTTTAACGTTTTGACGCGTGTCGTTCGAATATTTTGAATTTTCGAGACACATTAAGCGCGTCGTTCGTTGTTTACAATCATTATGTGTTTATATGACGTTTTGTTCGAAGAGGCTCGAATGTTTTCGTTTCACAAATCTTATCTACTGTTGGTATTAATTCTTATAAACATTAGATATCTATTCTTGTATACCATTTTTCTGTCTAATTTCAATTTTCAAGGGATAACCAAGAGAATTATTCTTTTGGAAGTTGGCTAAATAAAATTATTGACGGAAAGATAATTGAAATATCCATGACGTTTTCACGACGTTTCTTTGACGAGTATAATATTATTCAACGATCAGCAGTTTTTGGTATGTCAAGAAGGTTAGACGACTTATTATATATAATTCGTCGCGACGATGTCAATTTTAATAGAAAATGGTTTGATATTGAAAAGAAAATGGAGGTTATAATTATTGCGACGCAAGTTCGACTAAACGAAATTTGCATAGAGGCGACTGTTTTGAAGAAAAATAATGCGCTATACAACGAATAAATCAATAAATTCATGTTAACTTGATAAAAAAAGATATTTTTTCTGCCTAAATAAAAGTTCGTTGACGTAAAATAGAATTCATAATTATTCTAATGTATGCTAAGTATATATTATTTCCTCATCGCACGTTCCAGAACCTTTTGTCCAAGCTGATTCTCCCACGTTATAGACGGTTCCATTCGCAAAGGGTTAAATTATATACATTGCTTTTGTTTGTTTTTCCAACAATTTGATAGTAATCAATGATTCAATTATAAATATACACATTATTTTACAAGTTAATCCTGATTTTGTTAATTTATCTAACATTTGCTAATATATCTTCTTAAATGTTAATGTGCAGCCTTATTTTTACAATTTTTGGTGGAATAATAAAATTTGTATTGACAAATTAATGTTCCATTTTGTAAACTTTAATATAATTTAAGCTTAACCTACATCATTGTCAAAAGATATTTGTTGTAACATTTCAGTTGGTATACCAACTGTAAAATGGTGTGGCTCAGAAGGTGACTACAATGTAATGGTAATGGAACTACTTGGTCCATCACTGGAGGATCTATTTAATTTCTGTTCAAGAAGATTTTCTTTGAAAACAGTCTTGCTTCTCGCCGATCAATTGGTAAATAATAGCTTTTTGTTAAAATCAATACATCTGCAATTCTTTCATAAAAATCATGTGTATTCGCTGTTTATTGTTATTCTGATATTTTCTGTTGCTTCAATGGAATGTGTATATAAAACCCTGATGTCGAATAATTTCTTCATATTCATAATAAAAAGTTATGTTATGTTTTGTGCCATTATTTTTATGGTGTTACATTTCTTATTTCAAAACATTGATATTGGTTCATGCTTTAATGGCATTAGTTACACATGTAATATTATCTTGCTTTGTTCAAACAAGATCTCTGATTGTGTCTGTTTCTGTAATATCACTGCAATTACAAGGCATATGTTAGTAATGTTCAAAGTTCACATTGTGATTATAGACAAGTATTTGTCATTCTGTTTTCTGTTACTGAAATAAATTACAATATAAATTACATACTTATCAACTAACAATTGTGTCGGCTGATAGCTAAAGCTTTCTGATCTCAGCAAAAACATTGTTTTAAGTGGAACTAAAAGTTAGTATATAATGTTTTCTCTATAAATAAAATGCTTTTAAGATTCTGTCTAAATATAGAACCAATTCAGTTAAACAAATTTTCCTCTTTCTGTTGAACATTCAGTGCTTATTAATTGGAAATATTTATTTTTATGTTTTTATCACTTCTACTCATTTTGTATTAATTGTAATTATATTGGTGTGCAGTAATTATCAGAAATGACAACAATAAAATCAGTTGAATGCAGCATGACTTCCTTCTCTTCTTTTTTTTTTTTTTTTATTGTATATTGATCTTTTTTTTAGTGTTATTATCTTTTCTTATCTATCTTTTTCTTATTTTTTCTTTTACATATAATCTAACATGTAAAAATAATTCACCAAATCACAAAATATTTTTTTATATTCTGATTTCTATAGATAAGTAGAACGGATTATACTCATAGCCGCAATTTTATCCACCGGGACATCAAACCAGATAATTTTTTGATGGGCTTGGGAAAGAAGGGAAATCTCGTATATATTATAGATTTCGGTTTGGCGAAAAAATACCGCGATGGCCGTACTCACAAACACATACCGTATCGAGAAAACAAGAACTTAACAGGAACAGCCAGGTTTGTTTATTGATATATTGCTTTATTCACTTTAATGTTTTAGTTTCTCTTAATTACAAACAAACATTTATTTATGCATTAACAGATATGCAAGTATTAACACACATCTGGGAATTGAACAATCACGACGAGATGACCTTGAGTCTTTAGGGTATGTTCTTATGTACTTCAATAGGGGTAGCTTACCCTGGCAAGGTTTGAAAGCGGCGACTAAAAGACAAAAGTACGAACGTATTTCCGAAAAGAAAATGTCTACACCTGTCGAAGAATTATGCAAGGGTTATCCTGGTAATTTTCATTTTCCATGAATTATTATTTTTTCGTATCGCTACAGAAATATGATAAAAACAAAATTAGTGTCACTGCTTTGTATTCAAATACAAATCTTAATATTGTAGTAGAGTTCGCCTCATACCTAAGGTATTGTCGATCTCTACGATTCGAAGAAAGGCCAGACTACTCATATCTTCGACAACTCTTCCGGACACTGTTCCATGGACAGGGCTTCACATACGATTATGTCTTCGATTGGAATATGCTGAAATTCGGAAACGTGAGGCAACAAACATTGTCTTCAACGCAACAAACACCGATACAGTCGCAACACACGAACGCGGCGCTGCCTTCTGGGACCAATAACGATCAGGAACGTCGATCTAGGTTGGTGTTTCGGCCGTGACAGAAGGAGCAGTATATTCGCGGACTGCAAACCGTTTACATATGAAATTAGACGTGAAAATGCTAGCAATCGCAGCTCTCTACTATGCCGTCTTTCCATGCGTATAAATAGCATGGTCATTTCATTACCCGGTGCATTCTATTCTTAGCGGGTGGGTCAATGATTCGGGAAATAGTCGTGTTTAACAACACGAATAACCAAATAGATCCGAGTTCTTTTTTCTGACATATCTGTATTCTGTTTTGATCCACTGTCTTTCTTTCGTTTTATAGAATCCAGTAGAACAATTTTGAGGTATTAAAGATAACAAATTTCTTAAACAAATGATTCTGTAATCGATTAGTACACTGTGTTAATTGTTTACTGTTATAAACGTATCTTTCTTTACAGGCCCTACGCACGGCAGTGTTTAGCAAACATATCAGTGGGACCGGTGGCCCCGACTGTGGGTGGAACTACGCTCTTCGCGATCAGGACAATCAGGAGAGCGATCTTCAAGGTAAACAACAGTTCTACCCAAAATTATGTTCTAAGCCGGTTATAACCAAGCAAAATATGCGAGTCGTAGTCGAACATCCGCAGCTTAGTGGCAACGAAACGCCACGCGCGAATCCGTGTCAGTTTAGTACATTTAAATCGTCACCGGTTAGAACAGCACCGGAAGCATCCCTGGACATTGCGGGCCTTAATTTAGGACCCCGCGAACAAACCTCGAACCGTGCCGAGTTAAACTATAGTACGTCTCGCGACTATTCTGCGACCAGATTGCCTGATAGTAGTCCGAATGCGTCGTTTCGTCAACCAGACAAACAGAGTTATTTTTTTCAATCGTATAAAGCTGAGAAAGACATAGATTTTGAGATAATGATGTTCGATCGTCTTACGCGTGATGAGAAAAAAGTTGACCACGGAGACAATGTTGCGGCATCTGGAGGCTCCTTGAACTGTTTCGGTGGCTTAGACAAGGATAAAAGCGGCGCTGATCACGATGACAAGAAGCAAAAAGGTTCTACGCTCGCTGGTCGACACCATGTTTCAAACCATGATGCTCGCCGTGACTCTGGAAATGTAGAATTCCTCGAAAAGGAGGGCGAGATCTTCAAGATAAGCAGCAGCGAGTTGTTGCAAGAGGCATCCGCCAAGAAAAAGAGGAACTTTTCTTTCAGTAACAAAGAGAAAACACACAGAAGCTTGGAGTCGTTAGAAAGGAGTATAGATCTGTCGGCAAAGGACTCGAAGAGTTTGGATCTGCTATTCGAGGAACGACCGAAAGCATTTTTTCACGGGAAGCAAAGAAGCCTGGATTCTTCCCAAAAGTCAAAAAAGTCCATGGACTCGTCCGTGAACAAAGCGCGAAAGCGGCCGAATTTCTTTCAACGTGTTCGAAGAAGCTGGCATTTTTTACTCATGCAGCGCAGAATCAAGCAAAGAAATAAATACGAACGGCCACTGAGCGGTCGAGAGAAATGCGAATATTTTTTGCGCCGCCTCCATAAGAACGACTGCTCCGAACGTGCCTCAAACTTGCCGATCAGTCGTCCGCACACTGAGCTTGATCTCGATTTTTTCTCTAAGCCAGATGATACGAATAACAAAGGCGAACTGATTTTGAACGAACAGAAAGACGAAAAAGAGATTACAGTTTTATTAGAAAATGGTGGCACATTTCGCGTAATGGAGGAGGAAAATAAATTACCTGTGGAAGATATCAATGATAAGGCAGCTGAAGACAATAACGTAGAGAAGCCTCCGTTGATCACTGAGAATGACGTTACTCGAAAATTACAAGAAGTGATTGGGACTGAAAAGAAAGAGCATATCGTGGATTGGGTAGTCACGATTGCGAATTTAGACGCTTTGAGTCATGCTACCCGCTCGAATGAATCTGCGGGTTATGGTATATTACACGGTACCCTTGGTATCTTGAAGGGTATCCTTTTTGATATTTTCCTCTGTGTATGTATCTAAATTTATGTTATATACGCAGTCTATATTTATGAAACACTTACATCACGCACCGAGTAATCTTTGTTATTAATATTGATATTTTTTGTATGTTGTTATGCCAAGAATTTTTTATACTTTTCGTGACCGTGTCAGGCCCAACAAGGTTCAATCCCCCATGTTTCCATCACTCGGGACAGGTGAGAATTATGACACGAAATATCACAATGGGCAAATATTACTGAATCTGCTATTGCACCAATACCACCTCTATTGTTTAGAATTAGGATTAACTCCATCTTTTCCCATGACCTGAAAACATCGACATTGCGATCCATGTACCTATACTCGTCGGGTTGTGTCGTAGAATCTGTTTCAAAGTATTCGTTTTTCTAAACTCCGTGAGCTTTCAACTATATTCTACAAGTATTTTTCATAAATTAGAATTACCATTTAAGCAAAGCAAAAAAAATATACTCGTTAGATTTGTTATTTTCTACTGGATGAATTTTTCGATCTCTATAACTATTTTTAAGATAAGATACTTTTACCGTGTATCACTGCCATTTTCGAATCTCCTTAAAAAAAAGCTCGATATTTTTCGATACTTCTATTTTTTCGTCCGCTGGCCACGAAACATCCCACCGTTACCATTCAATCACTTTCCGATCGATATAAAAGTTTCACGCTCGAAATCACGAAGTATCATGTGGCAAGTATAATACGCGGACCCGTCCTATATATTCTGACTGCCTTTTATAAAACGCCTTTACATTAACGACTGACTAAACGTAAGCGACGAACGACCCTCGTCAAATGTACAGAGAGCCAAAACAAATAATCCATCGAATGGCATAACAACGTACCGCATACATACATGATCGATCGATGTATAATCGTAGTTCGCGTAAAGAGGAGGTAACTCTGTTAGTTAACGAGACACGTATTCAGCAAGTCTATATATTTTCATATAATCGTGTTACGTAATATTACCAAATACTACTCGCGTGTCGCGGCGTATGTATCTTTATATAGCGAGCAAACCTGCGGCTAAAACGTTCAAACGATGTCTACTTGGACGACGCGATATTTATCTCGTCCCCTATCGATACGTTTACGCGTTGAATACGTAATGTTTTACTCTATCGTGCGAAAGGTTCACGTTTTCGTGAATTTACACGCTTTCGAGGCACGTTTCTATTTGGAACGCAAAGGACGACGATCATCTTTCAATATGGAGATCGCGGGAGACGCGAAGTGGTATGCTTATCGAACGTGTTGCGTTTCGAGTCGCAACGCGGCCAGATGGCGCTGCTGTCCGATCAGTGAAAGGGACTCGCGTGTCGTATCGAAACGCTTTAGTCCAGAAAAGAAATTCGATCTAATTTTCGTAAGACAAGTAATTTCTACGTAATTTTTATATCGTCGAGAGTTAGTTTTGTAAGGCATCGTATTTTCTTTTTCAATCATTACACGCATAAATATCTCTAGTTAGAGAAGCTCGAAACGCACAATAGTCGTTTATCATCGAATCCGACTATCATGACCGGCCTCGGAGTTCGCTTTAATTGCTATTTTCAATCGTCATCTCGGCTACGAGCGCGATCAGTTCTCGAAATTTCATCTCGTAAAAGACATAACACACGGGGAAGTATATAAATTAAGCATTCGGATTGAAAATGAAGGTATTGAATGCGAACTGCGAGGCTGACGATTTTGCTCGCACCGAACTTGCATCGTAATTAACGGATAGCTTTATCAGACATTGTCACGTTCGTTTATATCGACAGTTTTCCGATTGTTTCGCCGTGTTACTTGGCAATCATTGTAATCGTCCACGGCGCTTTCTGTCCTTGTCGCGTTCATTTGCTGCTCTTTCTTTAAGAGGAAAAGAGAAAGAAGATGGTTTCCCAAGCAATAAACCAAAAAAGAAGATTCTTTCATCGATTCGTTAGGGACCTCGTTAGTTGATCATTTTCGAATCACGAATATAATTTAAAAAAATATAAATTAACATTTTTTCGTAGCTGCGGACGTGTTACGTGTCGTTTTTGGGATTCCGGCGCGATGGAAGAAGCAAGAATCGTTTCACATGAGAGGATTAAACGCCAAGAAATGGACAGATCTCTCAAAATTTCACTGTCGGTCATTTATCACGGGGTTGTTGCAAAAAGGATGTTAATCTTTTTATTACCAGTATTTTGTTCAATATTTCGTTTAACATACCGTCTCATTTATAACCCCATTGGTTTTTGCAGTAACCCCTTTGTGCGCGATGCCTGCACAACAACATTGCATTGTCTTTTTGTTTGAAAAGCACAGTTATATTCGTCGTCGCAATAAAATCTCTCATATACCCTCTGTTCACAGTGAATCGTTTGCTCGCTTGTTCGCAGTGACCGATCTCGATCCGACGAAAGGAAGCCCCTCGAGATCCCAGAAAGGTTACCAAAGCTTAGATAGAGACGCTAAAACATAGTTTTCTATTTCCTCTAGACGCGCGAATCGCAGTCTCGAGGGCTTCTTTCGTTCGACAGGTCCTCTGAAACTCTGACGTTCGGTGACTTCTTCCTAAACGCTGGGTCCTCAACATCGTCGTTATTTTCTCCTCGATTACGTATATTTTTCTCTTTCACTTTTCTCTCTTTATATCTCTATCAGCTGTTCTCCTCCTGTATTTCTTTCTCATCCAGGTAGCCTTCGCAATTGTGCATCTGTTTGTAATCATTCTATTTTTTAATTGATAGTGACGATGGTGATGATATGATGATGATGATAATGATAATGATGATGATGAAGAGAAAGTAGCAAATAAATGTTTTTCCATTCAAGGACTGGTCTCTTTATTTATTTCACCACACGACATTGTCGATAATCCTCGTCAAAATTTTCTTCTCACTTGGCTTGAATGGAAAAACGTCACCTCGACTTGATCACGATCGCGGATATCTATTTTATTTTATTTACTTATTTTTTTTTTCGATCCTATCGCATCATCTGTCTTCATGAAAACGCATCGCATTTTTTTTTTTCGTCTTTTTCCAATTGGTACACATTTTGTCGACCTAGAATTTTTTCCATTTCAACTGCCAAGCGTGAAATGCCGTGCATCGTTCCCTCATCGTCTGGTCGACGTCTCCTTGCGATCGATTAACGACTCCTGCGCGATAAAAGAGGGAAAAAAAGAAATATATCAGAATCCCATCGCGTCGTGTCGAGTATGTCATTCGGTGACTTTCTTCGTCGCGTCATGAAAGGAAAGTCGAGTCATAGAAGAAAGCTTTTACGGGAAAAAAAGCAGAAAATATTTAGAAAAAGAGAAGACTTCTTACGCGAACTCTGATCCTCAGGATGACCGTTATTCGCGTAATTACGCTTCGTCGAAGAAGTGCGACAATGGCTATGCAGTATTACGTCTGAATACCTTGGGTATCGATTTTTCCTTAGCTGCGCCAGTTAATCAACAAAGAAACACGTTATTATCGTCTTCAATCCAAGTTCGATACTTGGTAACGTGATCGATAGAGTTCAAGGAAGCGGTGCGATATATTTACACGTGCTTTTTATTCCGTCACCTGCAGCGATAGGGTAAATCGTTCATAAATATTTAGCCGTGTTCACACGACACGGAATTGCACGGTAGGTCGATTAGATCTCGGTGATTCCTTGAACTATATTCGGGTGGTCGTCATGCTTCTCGAACGAGCGACATACCATCTGAAAACTCGTACGTGATGCAAGATTCGCATATGGTAGGTATAATGTGCGTGCTACAGTCACCTAAGACACTTTTACTTTTGTAATGCGAGTGTTCTTTCTATTTTCTTGGTTCCTCCCTCTCCACAACGTTGCATGATCATAAATATCATTCCACGAGGATCCATTAACTAATTAAGTCGTCGAGGTGATTCAAATCTTCACCACCACCACCTGTTATATTTTTCTTTTGTAATTGCCAGAACCAGTCGTCCAATAATGTGGATTTTGAGAGCCTAAAATGGAAAATTGTTTTTAAGAACTTGAAAACCTTTATCTTTAGTATTTCTAATACTTTAATTTTAATACTCTTACCAGGGAGAATGAAATTGAGAAAAGATATAAATGGAAGAAGGTAGAGTAGAATATTGGAGAGTCAAATGTCCAGGGACTGCATGAATGATAATAGTCTGCCTAACTCCTCAAATATGAGCCTTCCATGAGCTGAATCGATTAACTCAACTTCTTGTATCTTCAAAAATTTTAGTGTCAAATTATTTGATAGATACCCAACTTTCTACACTAAACCAAATTATTATTCATTTAAGTAGAGTTAATCCATTTGGCAAAGCTCATATAGATAATTAAAATAATTAGAATAATTAAATTGTACATAAAAATAGAATTTTTTACGCTATTCATTTATCGTTAGCGAAGCAAAAATCACAGAACTCGAGAAAGAGAAAAAATGTCGGTATTGATGCATTGTTTGCTTTTTGCTGGTCTCTTTCAGCGTCGAGCGCAGGTGGCCAGGAACGAAGGGTCAGCATGAGGTTGCACCGTAGGGATGCAGCTGCAGGGGAGATGCAACCGAAGACCAAGTGAGTTGCTATATCACGCCAAAACGTCACCGCGGATAAAGCACCTAAGTATAACTCGCTCTGCTAGCATTTAGGGAGTGGTCTTTAACTGTCGTAGTCTATCTCGTAACCGGTCCTGTCGTAATTGTACCGATCGTGTGTGAACACGACCTTAATGTTCTGGTGTCTCGTCCACGAAGCTTCTCTATACGATTAACATTCGGTTCTTGACTCGGTACTATGGCGAACGTTTAACCCTTTGCACTTAATCCGTTGTCTTTCACAGTTCCAATCTTTTAATACCGGTCGTTTGCGCCCTCACTTCACGCCATTTTCGGCTGTTCTTATGCAAACTAACGTTGGAACAAACGTAATCTTGTGATCCAAAATGTCGATTCGAGTGTGAACGATTAAACGTTCGGGTCTGTTCGTCGCAATGATCGCACCGTAAGATCGAAAACAGTACGTGTACTCATGTTGTTTGGTTTCGGTACACTTGTACAAATTAATCGAGCTTGTTACACTTGGTGCTGCCATTAGAGATTGCATGGAACGTTGCACAGAGTACGGGCAAACATCGCATCGCAAGTGAAGTTTCACGAGATCTCTTGATCGAAGCTACAAGTTTCTTCTATCACGTCACGGTTCGTCACGGTGCTCGCACCATTCGTGAATCGTTCGAACGGAATGCGACGATCTAGTAGAGTGCTGTACCTTTCATCGCGTGTCTCCACGTGTCTGCCCTTTGTATCATTTAGCTTGCACATACGTCACGTTTCCTTCTTTCGTTTACGCTTTTGCATCATCGAATCCCGGGTGTGATTAAAGTACAAGAAGTTTATACAGACACGATAAAATCGATTCCTTGTCTTGGAAGAATTTTGTAGAGAAAGACCGGAAAAAAAGAAAAGAACGAATTGCGTCGAGTACATTTCGTAATCGATATAAACTCAGAGAACAGTTGCGTAACTAATTTTTTGATCGAACTGTGATTCGCTGTAAAAAGATTCTTATGCTTGCGAACTAGATATCGACGATGGATGTCAGTGTTAGTTGCATTGAGCTCTAATTTGGCAGGTCACTTTTTTGGTAGATTGGTGTCTTGATACCGTGGCATGGTTCTTCCTCGATCGACGGAGATCTGGGGAGAAGTTGAGAGAGGAGAGGGAGTGCACTTTTTATGCCATTTGGAAAGAATATTGTATTTCTTTATTACCTGGCTCTTTTTCCAATCTGTTCTATTCTTTCGTTGTATTCGTTGATTCATTTCGTACATTCCGTTCGATTCAAAACGCTTCCATTTCCTATATTTTTCTCCGATTGAACGGTAAAAGGATAGAGAAGTAATAAAATATAAGGAGAAAAGAAAAAGGTTCTTTCCAAATGCGACATCTACTTGCCTGCTATATCGGGGTGCACTGGGATGGTTTTTCCTTTGTCACATTTCAAAAATACGTCTTTGTATATTATTTTGCATAATAAGCAAGCGAGAACGAGCGCGACAGAGTCACTTAATGGCTTCTGTCCTTCACGCTCGTGGGCCGGTATCCCTTCTATAATTTCGTCTTCACTTCCCCCACCACGTATTAGCAATGCGAGTCCTGGATTCGCCGCGTGAACGCTGCGAACGATACTATCGAATTTGTCGATCAAGATCGACTAACAATCGATTCTCTGTTTGCCTCTCTCTGTTTGTTGGTATATCGTATCGGACGATCTTGACTGACGAATCGTGTGCATCGTTTGTGTTTATCGGAATGCCCAATGTCGATCAGAAAAGTGATCGGGGAATCGAGTCGCGTGTTACGAAAGAACTTTCTGCGCTCAGCTCTCGAGATATCCAGCGGCACGTGTTGCGAATAGGAGCGTAACGGAAAAGTGAGGGAAGCGGTGCGCTGGTTGGAGGGTTATGAAACTGCGCTTGGCAACTGGTCGACCCACGTTATCGCACGACGCGTAACTTCTCGACGATTATTTATTGTAAATACAATTACGTTTTTATACGTTAGAAGTGGGTTAAGAGCTATCGATTCTTTGGTTTTCGTATGTCGTTCTCTATTAACCCTGAACCATCTTGGTGGGTGGTCGTAGAAGATATAGATATTCGAGTGAACTTTGTTCGATTTTTATAGAAAAGCAAACGGAGCATGTGAAATCGGCTGGACTGACATTTGGTTTTGCAAAGAGTCGTGGGGTTCTGGTCAAGCTGTAGGTCAAACGTAAATGTTAACGGGACTTTCGAACGATTGTTTTTATCTCTTACGGGAAAAGGAATAAGCCGGTTAATTATTCGATGATATTATCTCGATAATAATAATAACGGAACGCGGAAGTTACTTCTCGTTTCAAGCCGGTGGCTGATGGTCTTAGAAACAGAGCGTGTACCGAACAATGGAGATTGAACGGATGCTTACAAAAATAGTGACTCAATTAGGAATTGTTATCCTTGCACAGTGGTATGGTATTTGAAACTCGGCGGGGTTCCTGTTGAAACAATTCGACCAATGAACGCGACGGAACTTCGTTAATGTTCCTCGCAGTGACCAATGGTTAGCTGTACAAATAAAAATCGTGTTATCGCCCTGATGTATTGTTACAGTGTTATATGCACTCTATCCAAGGATGATAAATACAAAGTTCGTTGATCGGGTTTATTTAAAAATCGTTTCTTGTGATTGTTTTATCGGAAGTGGTATTTACCGTTAGTTAAACGGTCCCAGCTACATTCTCCACTGTTTATTCATCGTTTAACATTATTGTAAAAAATTCAACGTCAGATTAATGGCACTTGCAATTAATATTGTCAACTTTCAAGCTGTGCAAACTGATTGATATTTCATCAACACTATAAGTGACTTTATCAGGGAAGAGTGGGTATACAAAGTTCAAGGCAAAATTGAGGGTTAATAGAGATTACGACTCTCCTGTAAACATTTGTATATACTGTACTTTTAACGCCGCAAACATTTGCGGAAAGCTGAAAGTGCATTCGACGCCCATGAAATTCCTCGCATTGGGTATACCGATACTCTAAATCAGAATATTTGAGGGTTGTGCATGCACGTATGCACGTTTCTTTCCTTTTTTTGTTCGTTTTTGTTATTTTTCTTTTCTTTTATTCTCTCTCTCTTTCCTTCTCTCTTTCTTTCTCTCTCTCTCTCTCTCTCTCTCTCTCTATTTCTCTCTCTCCCCTCTCTCTCTCTCTCTAAATATTTTGCCGCGTGAAAGTGGTACACGATACCTGATATTTAACGTCGTAGAAAAAAAGGAATTAAATTAAAAAAAAAAAGACAAAAAAAAGAAAATACGAAATTCGGTATCGAGATTCACTGGAATTCCGCTTTATGTTCTTTCGTTGACTTTTTTTCAGGTAACCGAAAGCTAAGACACTAATTCTAAATCGCAAAAGTAGGCAAAGAGGGGGCGAAAGTAATCTCCTGTGCCACGGTAGCGGACACCGGCGAAAAAACTGAAATCGTGGATTAAAAACATTTATATATATATACATATATATATATATATAAAAA